TGTGATTATGAGCTTACCTTACCCCACCAATGTTCGAGAAGTATGTTCTTTTCTTAGTCATGTATGTTTTTACCGCATATTCATCAAGGATTTCTCAAAGATTGCACTACCTCTATCTACGCTCCTCCAAAAAGAAGTGTCATTTGATTTCAATGAAGAGTGCAAGGAAGCATTTGATGCCTTGAAGACATCATTGACAATGACACCCATCATTCAACCACCAAATTGGGAGTTACCATTTGAAGTTATGTGTGATGCAAGCAATTATGCTTGGGCGTAATTTTGGGGTAAAGAAATGGTAAACAAGTTCATGTAATTTATTATGCATCTAGGATATTGAATCAGGCCCAACGAAATTACACCACAACCAAAAAAGAGCTTTATAGCTGTTGTGCTTGCTTTTGAAAATTTTTGATCACATTTGCTTTGTTCTAGAGTGATTATCTTTTCAAATCATGCTCGCTCTCAAGTACTTGATGGGGAAAAAGGAAGCCAAACCGCAACTTATCTAGTGGATTCTTCTATTTGAAGAATTTGATTATGAAATCAAAGACAAAAAAGGAGTGGAGAATCTAGTAGTCGACCATCCGAGCCATTTGGTAAGAGATGAAGATTCATTGCCACTACAAGAGACTTTTCCTAATGAACACCTATTTAAGGTGCAATGTATGGTTTTTTGGTTTGCTAATATAGTTAATTATTTAGCTACTAGGACTTTACCTGTTGATTTGAGTCATGCATAAAAAGATAAGCTTAAGAGTGAAGCTAAGTATTATGTTTGGGATGAAATATATTTGTGGCTTTTTTGCTCGATCAAATTATTAAGAGGTGTTTGCTAGATTTTGTATTTCATTCTATGCTTAACTTTGTCACGCTTATACATGTGGTGGACATTTTGGACCTAAAAAAATAGCTAGGAAAATTTTAGAATGTGGTTCTTATTGGCCATCTTTAAAGATTCTTACACATTCCGTAGAAATTGTGATAAATGTCAAAGGATGGGAAATTTAACCAGTAGGAATGAGATGGTGCAAAACCCTATTCTTGTTTGTGAAATTTTTGATGTATGGAGTATTGATTTTATGGGTCCATTTCCTTCATCTTTTGGTTTTATTTACATATTATTAGTTTTTGATTATGTTTGAAAGTGGGTGGAAGCAAAGGCCACCGGATCGACAATTCTAAAGTTGTGACGAGTTTCCTCAAGATTAACATTTTTAATAGGTTTGGGATTCCAAGAGCATTGATCGATGATCAAGATTCTCATTTTTGCAATAGAGTAGTTGATAGCTTGTTAAGGAAGTATAGTATTTTCCATAGAACATCAACTCCATACCACTCACAAACGAATGGGCAAGCCGAGGTTTCAAATAGAGAGCTCAAGTCAATCTTGAAGAAAATGGTAAAACCCAATCAAAAGGATTGGATCACTCAACTTAAGGATGCATTGTGGGCATACCAAACGAGCATACAAGAAGCCAATTGGAATGTCTCCTTACCGCTCGGGATTTGGTAAATCTTGTCATCTTCTCGTTGAGATTGAGCATAAGGCTTATTGGGCGTTGAAACAATGCAACATGAAGATGGATAAGGCTAGAGAGGATCAAAAATTACAGCTACAAGAATTGGAGGAAATTAGGTTAGAGGCCTATGAGAACTCGCACATTTATAAAGACAAAACAAAGGCATTCCATGAAAAAATAATTTTGCAAAAATAATTTATCATAGGATAAAAAGTTTTTCTATATCATTCTTGATTGAAATTGATGCCGGGTAAGTTATGTTCTCATTCGATTGGACCTTTTATTGTTACTAACGTGTGTCCATATGGTATAGTAGAGATCCGGAGTTTAGATAACAACAAGGTGTTCAAGGTTAACGGCCATTGTGTTAAGCCGTTCTTTGAAGGTTTTAAGGAGCATACAATGGAGAGTGTTTCCTCAGCTGATCCTATTCATTCCAAATAGAGATGAGTTACGTCGAGCCAACGACGTTAAACAAAAATGCCGATTGGGAGGCAACCCAAATATGGCTTTTAAGCTATCCCGCATTTGTTCTCTTTTCCCCATCTCTTTAAATTTTTATTGTCTATAATTTTTCTTGTGTGCCTTACATTAAGGACAATGTAAGTTTTAAGTGTGAGGGAGGGGACAAATGATTTAACATTTAGGATGTAACTTAGAACATAGAAAATTTAAAATTTTTTTTTAGTAAAAAAAACATGTATAAGTGTGTATTTAAGATACTTGAACTATGCATAGGTACCTAATTGAACTTAAATGATGTGCATACCACCTAGTTTAAGATGTAGCAATTAGTTTTAAAATAGATTAAACATGCTTGAGTCTTAGTAATTGATTGACATGGTACTTATTGTGAAATTATGCAAATGTTTAGTAGCGAAGCATGATTGATGACTTGTATAATTAACTTTTAGATTAATTCTCTTAAATTAAGTCTATATTTGGGTTTAAGTAAATAGGGTTATTCTAAATAATTATGAATGAAATTGCTAAAATGTGTTAAAATTCGATGACCTACTCCACTATTCTAATTAGAATATGAGTATGCAAAACACTTCGAGTATGTTACTTATGGAGTAACCGGGTCCATTCATCACAAATGTTTATATTCACGTAAAAAGGCAAGTAAACAACTTGAAGAAAAGGAATTGCTTTTAAAAAAAAATTAAGAAGAAAAAAAACAAAGAACACCTAGTTTGCTTCCTAGTTTATTTAAGGAAAGAGAAATATTCTAAAGGAGAGTCATGTATGAATTAATTGTGTTAGTTGCTAGGTTGGTATGCTTAAACAATAATAGCCTTGGATAAAAATGAGTATGTTTATCTTTGTTTCATTTGATATTGTTGTATATTTAAATTAGGTGGGTATGCTTTGCTTATGAATTTAAATGAATAAACTATGCATAGTTGTTTGTATCTTGAGTAATGCTTATCTATATTTTCAAAAATATAATTTTGTGGATATATCGATTGCAAACCATCACGAGACACAACTTGTTCACTAGGAGCAACCTAGGGGTTTAAAGGCTTAGTGCATATGCTAAATACACTCATGATTCCTACGAAAATGAGTTAGGCTTAGTTTGCTTTCTAATTTTTAGTTCTTAGTTTTAATTTTAGTTTGCCGAGGACATGCAAAAGCTAGGAAATCTAGAAGAACCAATGTTTATGAAGTAACCATAAAGCTATATGGACTCTAAATATCCCATACATGTATATGCTAGGAAAAAAATCCCTGTATAGACTTAAGCAAGCACCAAGAGCATGGAATCAATGTCTCATAAATCAACTTCTCCATCTTGGGTTTAAAAGATCCCAATCGATACATCTCTATTTATGTACACAAAGTGGCGGACACCATCTACTATCTCATTTATGTAGATAATATCATTGTCACTAGAAATAATGCTAGCTTCATTCAGCTTCTAAAGAACACACTTTAGTAGTAGTTTGTAATCAAAGATCTAGGGAGACTTGCCTACTTTATAGGCATTGAGGCACACTAGCTTAAGGGAGGATTGACCCTCACACGGTCTAAGTATATAAGGGGCATTCTTAGAAAGACAAAGATGCATAAGGCAAGCTCAATTTCCACTCTTACCAACACCATAAAGAAGTTAATGAACTCGGGAGAATTATTTGTTGATCCAACCTTGTTTCATAGCATTGCTTGGAGGACTTCAATATCTTGCCTTAACAAGATCGAACTTCTCATTTGCTATAAATAAAGGTGAAGAATTCATACATGCTACTACCACGGATCATCGGTCGGTACGTCAAGAGAAAACTACGATACTTAGGCTCTACCCACGATCATGGCTTGCACTTCAAACCTACAAATACCTTAACTCTACATGCCTATACGAGATGATGATTGGGGTGATGATATGAATGATAGGAAAAGCACTACATGGTATACCATTTATTTAAGTGGTAACCTTATGTCCCGATGTTCAAAAAAGTAGAGAATAATTGCATAGTCCTTTGCCAATGTTGAATATCGAGCCTTAGCTATAACGACCTGCGAGGTCACTTAGATTCAATCCCTCTTGAAAGAAATTAGAGCTGCACTACCCATGGCAAATATCCTCTTGTGTGACAACTTGTCCGCCACCTACCTCATAACCAATCCTATTTTCTATGCTTGGTCTAAGCATTTAGAGATCGATTTCCACTTCGTAAGAGATAAGGTGAAAAAGAAAGAGCTCACGATGAACTTCATTTCCACTAATGATAAAATTGTGAATATCCTAAAAAACCCCTCATCCAAACAACAATTCTTTCTATTACGGGATAAACCGACTCGTAATTCGCGGCTCAACTTGAGGGAGGATGATAAGAATATCTTATTATCAAGATTATCTCTAGCTTGTTATGTTTATCTATACAATAGTAAAGCTAGATGTCCATGTAATATAAAAGTCTTTGTAACGAGTATAGGTAGTCATTCATGTTGTATAAAAGTTTGTCTCTATAATAGATCTGTCTCTACAACGAGAATCCCGGTAAATAACAAACACTACCGTGAACTTTACTATATAAATACAATAACTATGTGAATAAAATTTTAGCTTGATCATACTTAAATTCTTTAGCAACATCATATGATTACTACTACTCTAGACAAGTTGCTAACCACTCTCTCCCTTGTAAAGTAAATATAAAGTTGCTTTATGATATTAATAATTTATATATTTGAGTACTTCAACAAGGGAAAGGATTTTACCTTATGCAAAAACCATCATGGAGAATGAAAACCGAAGCTAGTGCCGGCTTGATTTGAGGTAGGCCCTCAAAAATCTTCATTTATTCTATGTTTGAGAACCCACACTACAAATCCGATGAAATAAAGAAACAAATACTTGCCACCCAAAAGTCCCATGTCCACGGTTTCAAGAAAACCCAAACGTTTTTGCTCTTATTATCTACAATAGAAACAATCATTGAAACACCACTTTCGATCAAAGGTAAGGTGTAATCAATGTACGAGGACCTATTAAAGACAATGGTGACGTCTCTAACCACAACATCATAATTTTGTTAGCAAAAAACAAAAATGTAAAAGAAATAAATTTCATTAAAATTGACTCGCATCAATGTTAATAATATTCTATGTAATATGTTTACAATTACCGATAAATTATAGAAGAAATTTTTACCTTGAAGTACACTTGATCTACCGGATCATTGTAAGTTTTAGCGAGCTCGTTGTCGAGGCTTGGTAAAGGGATGTACTCATAAGGTAAAGCATAAAGTAGTGCTTTTACTATAGCGCCAAATACATCCGTGCAAAATTTTATGACTTTTAGGGTGTCCGAAATAGAATCTTTAGTCATTATCACAAACTCACGAAAACCATCCTTGAGAGGCACTTTTATCCTCAACTTCTTTCCACTTGTTGGAATCGCCCAACCCTTAGGAATAGAAGTTGTATCACCCAACCATATTATAGTTGATAGCTTAGAGGATGCAATCATATTTTTTGTTGAGTTTAGTGTTTTAACAATTCCTTTTGTTGGTGTCCGAATCCAATCTCTCATCCCCCAAATACTCGTTACATTTATTGTCCGAAAAGCTAATGGCTATAACTCGCTTGTTAACAAAAAGGTAATCTCGTGTAAAGCCTTTGAAACTTGTGTTTGATAAAGCTTGAAGAAGGTTTGGACCATTTAAAGATATGCCAATAAGTGCAAGAGCCATTGATGAAATGCTAGAAGGTTTTGCCTTTTGGAAGCCTAAATTTATTGTTCCGAGCTTTCTCAACTACCAAGACCAATGTTGTTGTAGCATCATAGGCCCATAGTCCATAAATGCACAACTTAGCATCAATCATATATGGATTATCTTATTGAAATTTCCTCTTCCACCTAACTAAAAAATTTCGGACCTCTTTCGTTTGTGGTATACGAGGTTTATCACCCAATAACCCATTTATTGTATCAATGATTTGAGAGCAATTATACTCTACTTCACATGTCAAGAGAGTAATTATTTATGATGACCACGAAAATATTGCTGATCCAATATGAAATGCATATCCAGAATTGCTTTTTTGATCATCAAGTCTCCACTATAATCACTATTTGAGGAACTAATTAAATTTAAACCTTGAGAATATGTATAAAATAAACCATGATCTATTGTAGCTTTGATATATCTCAAAATTCTCTTTGCTATAATGAAATGATCTTGCTTTGGTTTCTCCATATATATACGGATCAGTCCAATTGCGTACATAATATCTAGGCGTGTGAAAGTCAAATACCTCAAAATTTCAACTAGACTCTTGAACGAGTGTCGGGTTTATGGACTCTTTGTTCGAATCAATTCTTAAATTTCATGCATACATCTATTGGTATAGCTACTAGCTTATAAACATTCATTCTAAACTTAATTAAAATTTGTTCCGCATGCTTCTTCTATGACATAAATATTCCATCTTTCATTTGTTTTACCTTAATTCCAAGAAAGTAAGGCATTTCACCAATATCTCGTTATTTCAAATTCTTAAGTCATAGCTTTCTAAAGATCATTAAACATACTTGGATTGTTTTTTGTAAAGATTATATCATCCACATATAGGCACATAATCATGATATCACTATCTTGATTTTTCTTTGTGTATGAGGCATGCTTATGCGAACTTTTTGCAAAACCATTCTTTTGGAAGTACTTGTCTATTCTAGTGTTCTAAGCTCATAAAACTTGCTTGAATCCATACAACGCTTTCTTTATTCGATAGACGTTGTCTTCTTGTTCCTTTTTAATATATCCCGGTGGTTGCTCAATATAAAATTCTTCTTTTAGGTATCCACTCAAGATTGTCGATTTCACATCCATCCAATAAATCTGCCATTTATTTTATGCTACAACCACTATGAGAAGTCTAATAGTATCAATTCTTGCAATCGGAGCAAATACCTCCTCATAGTCAATTCCTTGTATTTATTTATAGCCTTTAGTAACTAATCTTATCTTATATTTTTCCACTTTTCCTTGTGGATTAGTCTTTATCTTGTACACCCACTTGACTCCTATTGCCTTGTGTCCTCTTGGAAGACTAGTTAATTCCCATGTATCATTTCTTTTGATTTTAGTAATTTCTTCATTCACGACCTTCTTTCACTTCTCATCTTTAGTAGCCTCTTCACATATTAATGGATCACACTCTTCCATTAAAAAAAAATAAGGAGTAATTGAATTTTGTCTACACGAGGTTTTGTGGAATCAAAAATATCATTTAGACTCCCGGTTTTCGAGTGCTCCCCTAAATTGTTATTGCTACTACTGCTTCCCGATGATGTTGATGGTATCTATTTAGGAGTTACCGAAGCCGGACTTTGTAAAAGAGTTTGGTCATCACCTTGTTCATTTTGTGTGTTGAATTCATCATCATTGTCATCATTAAAAAATAGTCCTTTAACTTTTTTTATCTTTTTTACTCCATCTCCAATAATCTACTTCATCGAATTCAACATCTCGAGAGATGATCACCTTCTTGGTCAAAGGATTATAAAATCCATATGCCTTACTTCTTTTCTTATAGCCAATAAATATACACTTCTCTCTTTTGTCATCTAACTTCTTTCTTTTACGAGTCGGGAACATGGGCATATGCAAATGCACCCAAAAATCCTATGTCTAGCTATGGGCTTGGCATCACTCTATGCTTCATTTGGCATTTTGAATTTTTCACTTTTTTTGGATATCGATTAAGTAAATAAATAGCATATAGAATGGCTTCAGCCCAAAAGGTTATAGGTAAGTGCTTTCCTTTCACCATGCTCCTTGCCATATCAAGAATCATGCGATTCTTTCTTTTTGCAATGCCATTTTATTGTGGTGTATATGAGGTTGTCGACTAATGAATGATTCCATTTTATTTGCAAACACCTTCAAATAACTTTAAGGTGTACTCACCTCCTCTATCATATCTAAGTATCTTCGGATATCGCCTACTTTGTTTTTCTCGCCATTGCTTTGAACTCCTTAAATTTATCAAGGGCTTTTGATTTTTCTTTAACAATATAAACCTAACTTTTTCTATTGAAATCTTTAATAAAGTAAGATAATACATGTTTCCACCAAGTGATGGTATATCAAATGGACCAACTATATCCGAGTGAATAATCTCTAAAGGCCTTTTGGTTGCTCATGATTTTTCGACTTTAAAACTTTAGAAGTCCATCCACCATCTTTGCTCTCGATTATAACTTTAGGTCGATAAATCCAAGATGACCAAACCTTAAATGCCATAACCATGATTTCTCTTTAATTACAAACTTCATGCACTTAAGCACTTTTGTATGAATATCGAGTGTGAAAAGACAAATCTTTATCATATCAACTTTAGCAATTAATTCTCCACTTCGTTAATGATAAGAGAGCAATCCTTCGGGCTTATATTATACCCCTTTCCTAGGAGTTGGCCAAGGCTAATGATATTGCTTTTCAAAACAAATACATAATAAATATCATGTATATACATTCTAAGTGCAATAATTGCAAAACATTAAGCCTCGTGTCCTTAATTACTATTTGAATTATTATTACACACCTTTTAAGTTTAAAAGATAATATAAAAGGAAAGAAAAAGGCTTCTCACTCACACCTAATTTATTATGCACACATACCGGCAAGTCAATCTTCCTTCGGTTACTTAAAGCAAGTCATTTGATGCGGAACAACGAGCTTTAGAATTTATGGAACTGTATGAGTGTGATAGAAGCTGAAAAAAATTTGGCCTAGTTCTTAGGCTTTTTTAGCCTAGTTTGATGCCAAACGAGCAAAACACATAGGCTATACCTATGATGTAAGAGTGATTTTAGCAAAAAAAAAAAAAAAAACACCATTTAAGCTCCCAAAAGTGATTTTTACTATTTTTTGGGATTTTTTTCTTATTTTTGGGTTTTTTGTATTTGTTTGCTTTTTGAATTCCTTTAGGGTTTTGGTCGAATTTTCCTATTTACGTATGACTTGGACGCAAAAAAACACATTTTTCTTAGATTAATAAAAGTTTATAAGAGAGTATCTCAAGTTTATTCTAATTTTTAGCATTTCTTGAATCAATGAAACTTGAAACCTATTTTTTGGTATTTGCATGCAATTTAATAGGTTATAGTAGATCGACATCGAATTTTAGATCAATGATATTTATTTATTTATTTATTTGTAAGTTTATGTTATGTCATCATTATTTTAGACCTTTTCATCTATGCCATAAGAAATAAAAAGGCGAGCTAATGCTCGGTAAGTGTGCTCAAGTAATGCATGATGCAATAAAATATATTTCCATGACTTTGAAATACATTTTTTGTGATCGGGTGTGTCATAACCCAAAATTTCCCTATACTTATTTTATTGTTAATTAATTCTTATGTTATTTTTGTTTTATTTCATTTTTTATTTGAATTATTTTAGAAAAACAAGAGCAAAAATAAAAATACAAAAAAGGAAAATATATGAAAAATACAAAATCTCTCTAAAATCATTCGAAAATCTATCAAAATATTACACTAATCTTTTTTTGAATTTGAATTTAGCACACATCCATTCTCTTATGTTTAGCTAATTAAATCTCAAATTTGAAATTTAACGAGTTGAAATTTGAGTTTGAATGGGCTAATTTTGGGAGAGATTGAACAGGTTTTGGCCTATAAAAGCTTTTGGATTTTGGTTTGAAGGGGGACACAAGAAAGAGCCGAAAAAGCCTTCATAATTCCCCAATCTCTAAAACCCTAAAATGTAGTCCTAGAAGAGAAACCAAGATTAGGCGACCATCCTATCTTCCCCGAAAAATGATGGCCGCCATGGCTCTTCCAAAAAATGCCATCTTCTCTTTCTCCCCTAACCGAACCTTCCAAAAAAACATATCCTCCTCCATATGGCTAAACACATCACCAAGCCACCATGGCCTCCTCCTCCATTGCCAAGCCGGAGACCACCCTCTAATAAACCATAATCAACTTGTCTTCACACTTAAAACAATAACTTCACTCCCTCACAAATAGATGCACAAACACCTAGTGTGCACATTACCAAAAAGCATCACCATTATCATCTTCTATTCTCATCACCCCATTACTCGTAGGTAATATATCTTGCTCCACTCGAAGATCGTCCATCCCCATACCTCCCAAAACCACCACTAGCAGTTTCACCCACAATTAGCTATCCTCATCTTCTTTTTCTCCACACATACCCTCATTGAGCACCCATGGGAAGGGGGTAACATCCTCATCTTGGTGCAAGTTTGCAAACCCCAAGAACAAGGGGACTCTATAGCATATCCTTGATATTGATACTTTAAACCATAAAGCTGGATCCTAAATCCGGAAAATCTATATCTCACCTGCTGTTACTATCCATTCTTTTTCACCCTTTCTCCAATGCTAGACCAACTTGTTAGCAGTAACAAAAAAAGTGATTGAACTAGGCCATTCTTCAACTTCCTTTACCCTCGACTGGGTCATCTTCAATTCAAAATCGAGAAAATACCAATAGTGATTGATGCTCCGACTGATAAGCGTGTTATTTATATTATTTGTAGAGGTTCATCGTTAATAGCTATAATTGGCTTTAGAAATGGGAGAGGTAGAGAATGAAGAAGATTGTCAATTACAAGAAAACCTTGAAGGCATTGACGGTCATGGAGAATGGTGCTTGAATCAACCAAACCTTTCGATTTTAGGGGTTTTGGATGGGTTTGGAGGTTTCCTAGTTGTGATGATCTTTAAAAAATAGGAGAAGCTTTTCACAAGAGGAGAGGATGAAGGTATAAGATTTGCTCTTTTGCTAAATGGGATTTGGTTTAAGAAAAAAAGATACCATCTAGTTTCGTTTGAAAAACAAAAAAGGGGTGGAAAGCCAAACGAGCTAGTCTAAGCCTAGCTCACGTGGTCATAATTTGGGCTAGTTCCAGCCTAGCCCAAGCCTAAAAAAAAAAAAAAAAAGGGCTAGCTTGCCAACCTAGCGACTTGGCCCACCCAAAACAAAAGGCTAATTTTTTTATTATTTTGTTTTATATAATATTATTTTAAATGTTTACTTATGTATGCTTATTTTCAGTTTAAATTAGATTTTAATATTCTAGTTTTCTTGAAATTTTATTTATGTAGTTTTAATTAATTTTAGTGTTATAAATTTAATTTTCACTATTTAGTTTAGATAATCAAATGATAAATGAATTATCGAGTCTCTTAATTTTTAAGGACCGATGACGATGCTCTATCGACAAGCCAAAAACCATAAAAAAAATATATATATATATATATATATATATATATATATATATATATAACAAAAGAAATGGGGAAGCTTACTCTAATTTTAGGATTTTTTTAATAATTAATTTAGTATTTAATAGGTGGGCAAATTGTCAAGTCTTCTAAATTCTTAAGAACTAATGATGATTTTCCTTTGAAATGTCAATAGTTAGATTAATAGTTAATAAGTGAACGAATTGTAGAGTCTCCTAATTCTTAAGGACTCGATAATGGTTCCCCATCTACAAAAATTAATTAAAATTCTTAACGAAATCTCTTATCTAAAAGGAATTATCATTTGACCAAAAAAATAAAAATAATAAAAATTTTTGATAAAATCTGCTATCCGATAGGGACTATCGTTTGATCAAAAAAATATAAATAAATAAATAAATTCTTGATGAAATCTCCTATTTGATAGGGATCTGTCGTTATCAAAAATCATCATTTATTCAGGATGTTCTCCGACACACTAGTTGTGTCAAGACTTAAAGTGAATCCGATGTTTGAACCAACATGCCACTTGATGAAGGAGACTGACCATCGTTTCAATATGATGTCACGCCCAAACTAAGAAACTTAATTCACTTGAAAATTGGAGTTTAAATAAAAAATAACTAGATAAAAATAAAGATACTTTAAGAGATGAATTTAATACTAAACTAGACGTGATACCTTTCCTAAGAAAGGACATCTAAGAGTGATCGATATCTCCTCAAAGCATAACCAACTTCTTACTCGAGAATCTCTAAACTAGTGCTATTTTTAGGTTCCTAGTTCTTTTAACACTAGGTAGCAACTCTAAACACAACAATAACTCATATCTCCAAAACAAACCATAAACAAGATGCAAATTTCCAAAAACTTAGAAAACCCAAAAAAATTTCGAGAGTCTCATTCGACGTCATGTAGCAACGAGGTGCACCTACCAAATATATATATATATATATATATATATGTGTGTGTGTGTGTGTGTGTGTGTGTATATGTATATACATGTATATATGTATATATATATGTGTATATGTATATACATGTATATATGTATATATATATGTGTATATGTATATACATGTATATATGTATATGTATATATATGTCTATATGTGTATATATGTCTATATGTGTATATGTGTATATATGTGTATATATATGTATATGTATATGTGTATATGTGTATATATATGTATATATGTATATGTATCTATGTATATACATATGTATATGTATGTATATGTATATGTATATATATCTATATATATATATATATATCATATATATACATATGTATATGTATATATATATATACATATGTATATGTATATATACATATGTATATGTATATATACATATGTATATGTATATATACATATATATATGGCTATTCATGAAAACCATGTTTGCAAAAAATATAAAAAGCACTAGACATATCCTTTGTGAAGCTTGTGACGTTCACAATTATGAACCATGATTGAACTTATGACAAAGAGTTAATCATTCTCTTTGTGTGCCATGATTGAATTTAGGACTCGTGATTAGGACATTTCTAGCCATTTTCTAAAAATCCCAACACCTGATTCTATCTTTTAAAACATGAACATGATGAAAACCATTTCATGAAATGCATGAAAAACATGATACTTGCATAATCAACCAAACAATATATGAAAACATCATTAAACCAATCCATGTACATCAAGATTAATGAAAAGGCCACTAGGCCAAATTCCAATATAACCATTCCATGACAATATTCACATGAAAATAATTAATTATCACATGAATTCATTACCAATTAATTATATCACCAATAACTTGCTCAATTATCATGTAACATACTAAAACACATTAATGCATACAAAGGATTAATATTGGTTGAAACTACCAAGAACAAATTAACCATGAAGCTTAAACTTGTTTTCATCATAATCAAGCTTGAAATCAATCAATTTTCATGTAAACATATCATCATTCAACTTAAATATACCTTAACTAATTTGATTATTACTAAACACATGCAAATCGTAGCAACCTATTAAAATTTTAGATTTGGTACCTCATCCTCTAAAATTTCAGATTTGACGTAAGCATTTCAACAACCAATAGCTTTATGATTTTAACAATTTTAAGGTTCCTAAATCATGGTTTAACCTAATTACATGACTTAATCATCAATTAAACTCATGATTCATCTTCATCAATCACTAATCAACTCAACATAATCAATGAATCAATCTCTAATTCAACCAACAAATATACCATCAAGCATGATCATCCATTAATGATCAAGCCAAAACACATACATTAATCTAAACTTGGTCGAATGCAATAAGGAGTTCTACTCCATATAACCAAGCACAAACCAATCATATATCATATATATAATCATCCTTAAAGAATATATCAAGCATTAATTCACTTTAATCTCATGAATTAGGCAATTAGTCCAAGTTATCATCTTTAACCAAATAACATTCATTACCTATCCAAGCTGAATTTTTCAATTTAATCACTCATTCTCATGTTAATTCACTCTATTAAATAATAAAACTCATCAAACATCAACTACTTCAACCTCACCTAAACTTAGAGTTCTTTTGCCGAATTAACCAACACAAATAATCAACATCAATCTTTCATTTAATCACCTAATTTATCATATAAACATATAATCATTTCAATTACACCAATTAATCATAATTACACCTATTAACTCCATTAGTCTAAGTTCAAGGATTAAGGGCAAAATGATCAGTAATGATAATCAAGCCAACTTTTCCAATCAAACACCCTTAAACATGCCTAATTCACCTAAAGAACACCTAAGAACACAAAATCATGGAAGTTAATATTTTCACGCCAAAATCACTGTTTTGGCCTCGAAGCATTCAACTTCACTTGCCCAATTTTGATTCTCTAATTCAACCTTAATTAAATCTTCAAAAATGTTATTTCAACCTTCACAAACATGTTTCCATCATAAATTCATCAAGATTTATCAATCACACAAAAACCCAACAATTCAAATTACCGATTCATAATTTCTAAAACTTCAAAATAGGGACAATCAAGCATCAAATTAATCATTTTCTTGTAGTGTAGTTAGAACTACACTTACCTCACTTGATGCTCGATCAAATTCTTCCTTGGTTGCTTGAAGTTTCCTTCTCATTCTTCTTCCTCGATGCTTTAGCCAAACCTTACTTGTTTTCTTTCTTGTTTGTTTAATCTCTTCAAGCTTTTCTAGAGGGTATTTGGCATGTATGTAAGGTGTTTTAGGTGGTATTAGGTAGTTGGTAGGCTTAATTTAACTTGAATTTACCTTGAGCTCAAGTTGATTCTTCTTGAATTTTCAAGCTTCCGTTCCCTTTCTTCTTCCTCTTCTTGCTAGATTTATAAAGGAGGATTTCCTTGTGATTTTTCCAAGTGTGGCACACTTGGATCGAGTCCTTTCTATCCTTCATTTAATGCCTCCTCTCTAGAATTCTCTCCAATTCTCTCTTCCTTTCTTTCTTTCTTTCTATTTCTTCTTTCTTCATCGACATACCAGCCCCTCTTTCTTTGTGTTTTTCCAGCTAAAATCTGAATAGAAATGGCCAATTTCAGCCAAATTAACTAGTTCCTTAATTTGCCAAAATATTATATTTCAGTCCCTAAACTTCCTTAATCATTTCAATTGAATCCTACAAATTCAGTCCCTACTTGGATCAATCCTTTCTATCCTTCATTTAATGCCTCTCTAGAATTCTCTCTAGTTCTCTCTTCCTTTCTTTCTTTCTTTCTATTTCTTCTTTTTCACCGACATACCAGCCCCTCTTTCTTTTTGTTTTTCTAGCTAAAATCTAAATATAAAGGGCCAACTTCAGCCAAATTAATATTTATATTGGTCATTTTTATTTTCTACTTATTTTAATTAAGCATCCAAATCTTTTAATTGTACCAATTAAACTCCTAAAATGTTGCAATTACACCTTTCAATTATTATAACCTCAACAATTAATCTTATAACTTACTAAATCAAGCATTTAAATTAATTTATTGTCTAAGCAAGTATTAATTTATTTCTTAAATAAATATTCATATATTAAATAATTAAATTATTCATGCAACACACACACACACACACACACACACTTAATCTTTTTCCCACATAGCTTTAATTCTTAGTAACTTAATCATGCAAACTTATGTAATTAATATAAACTAGTTTAAACATAATTTCATACAAGTATAAAATAATTTTTTTATTTATACATGAACATAGCTATTACATGTTTAACAAAACATACACACACAGATATATATATATATATATATATAAGATTTAAACAGTACACAAGAAGATTCTAATTTGGGGTGTTACACAAACTGTCAATGGTAGTATCTAAAAGTCAATCATTTTCATGGTCCATTTCTAAACCTGCTAGCCTTTCTTGATTTGGGTTGGTAAGCTGATCAATATTCATTACTACCAAATGAGATGCTTGCCTGTCTAGGCTGGAATCACCATACTCGGCAGAGCATTGATCTCCATCTCCAGGGAAATAAGTGCTAACTGAATAGGCTGACGGGCTTGCCATACTAGGCTGACTAATGGCACTTCTGCAATTCAGTTCACTTTTTCTGAAAGTATGGGAATTCAAGTCCCTCTGAATGAAGATCCTGAAGAAATTGCGGACTTTACTCATTACGGAATCTTTGGAAGCAGAGGAACTCAACACTTTCCTTTCCTGGTAAACAAACATGACCATGAACATAATAAGAGCTAACAGCGATGCTATTCCAGCAATTAAAAATAAGCCCCAGAAACTCTTGAGACTGAGGCTGTTAGATGTAACCGAGGTGCTGGAATCTGGACAATTGCTTTGTTTTCCGAAACAGGCATCCTCAATTTCGTTCATTTTATCTCCCTCCGTCCTGTTTAGAACTGCCCTTGATACATCAGGTACTAGAGGAGAACCTTTATGGAAGGCCTGGAAAGTCACAACACAAAGCAGCAAGCAAGTATCAGGATTAAGAAACTTACAAGAGAGAGGAAAAGATATGGAGAGGGTTGATGAACTTACAAAGCCAAAACCGTCGGTTTTAAATGTATGATCAATCATGGTATATTTAGAGCAATACTTTGACAGTAAGAGCTTCATGAATGGAACTTCGTCAAAAGCAGCAGCAATGCCACCATTTCCACTTCCTTTGGATAGAAGGTCATCGCATTCTTCTATAGAATTATACACAATGAGCTTGGACTTGTCGAAACCTAAGCCTAGCAGGATTCCCTGAACAAAAGAACCCTCCTGGTAGCCTACAAACTCCCCCTTCTTAATGAGAAAATTGACATCATTAACTGCAGGCTGCAGCTGCTGGACTGTAAGTAGGCTAGTTAAACTGGCAGTGTAACTCTGTGTGAGGATCAGTTCAACAAAACACCATATGATTACCACTGTTCTAGACAAGTTGCTAACCACTCTCTCCCCTGTAATTATAGTTCAAAAAAAGAAGTAAAGATTAGGTCAATTTGGTGTTTGAGACGCTAGATAGTAACGTATATGTTAAAGAGTATTTAAATCGGAGAAGAAAAATCAAAAGGAAAAGGGAAAGGAAAATTACTCTGTGCAAAAACCGTGGTTGAGAAGGAAAACCAGAAGCTAGTGCCTGCTTGATGTGAGGCAGGCCCTCGAAACTCTTCGTTGATTCTATGTTTAAGAACCCAGATCACAAATCCCATGAAAATAAAGAAACAAAAACTTGTCACCCAGAGATCCCATTTCAGATGCCTCAAGAAAACCCATGCATTTTTGCTTTTGTTGTCGACAATAGGGACGATCATGGAGACACCACTTTCAGTGTAAGGCAAAGTAAAATCAACATACAGGGACAGGTTGAAAATAATAGTTGTATCTCCCACTGCAGCATCAAAATTCTGTTGATAGAAACAAACAAATGCAAAAGAAAGAACGTGTCAATAAAAAATCAGATTTGCAGGCATGAATTTGGGGCTAATCATACTTCAGATAGAATCTGAATGTTTTACCTTCAAGTACACTTGATATATCAGATCATTGTAAGTTCCCGCAGGCTCGCCGTCAGGCTTTGCAAAGGGGATGTACTCATAAGGCAAAGCATAAGGCAATGCTTTGACTACAGCATCAAAAACATCTATGCAGTATCCGGTGGCTTTTGAAGTGTTAGAAATAGGATCTGTTGTCACTTTGACAAACTCACTGAAACCATCCTTGACAGGCACTACTATCCTCAACTTCCTCCCACTTGTTGGAATCTCCCAACCCTTGGGAACAGAAGTTGTATCACCCGGCCATATTACAGCTGAAAGACCGGAATTCGATGTTGAGGATGCAGTCATATTTTTTGTTGTGTTTAGTGTTTTGACAATTCCTTCGGTTGGTGTCCAGAATCCAATCTCTCTTCCCCCATTTCCGTTCACATTTATTATCTGGAAAGCTGATGCCTGTAACTGCCCATTAACAAAAAGGTAATCTCCGGTAAGGCCTTTGAAAGCAGTGTTTGATAAAGCTTGAAGAAGGTTTGGACCATTTAAAGACACCCCAAGAGTTGCAAGATCTGTTGATGAATTGCTAGAAACATTTTCCTTTTGGAAGCCAGAATTTGTAGTTCCAGTTTTCTCAACTGCCAAGGCCAATGCTGTTGCTGCATCATAGGCCCATAATCCAAAAATGTTCAAATCAGTATCAACAATATCTGGATTATCTTGTTGGAATTTCCTTTTCCACCGATCTCAAAAAATTTTGAGATCGTTTGTTCTTGGTACAAAAGGTTTAACACCCAATACACCTTGGATTGTATCAGTGACAGAACGATTTGGCGAACTCAAGAAGTCAGCTGTTAGACCATCAGTCATGATCCAAACATAGCCTTCACTCATCATTCCTATCTCTTTTGCTTTGGCAAAAAGCCGAGCACCAAGAGATGGAAACATGTGCACAATGAAAACTCTAGTTTGCATTTTCATCAGCTTGTAAAGCTCTTCAACAATTTGATCATCGGTGGCTGATGGAGAAATGACACTCCGGTACGGGACACGAGCATCAACTGCTTGCAAAGCATCAGTTAAATAAGGTATGACTCCCTCTCCGTAATCATCATTGATGTAGATGGGTACTGCTTCTCTGAATCCAAAGGTTTGAACTAATGCACTTATGGCATTCAATTGGGTTGAGTCATTTTGTGTTGCTTGAAAGAAGTAGGGACTCCTGTTGGAAGTTAGAGAAGGACTTGATGCAGAAAAAGATATGATGGGCACCTGAGCTTTTTCTCCAAGGTCAATAACAAAACTGGCTTGCATTGATGTTGTTGGCCCTATGATTGCTTGCACTTCAACATTTTTTATCAGGTCCAGGGCTGTATTTTTAACACCATTAAGGGAAAAAAAAACTCTTATAGGTCAATTATATCAGTAAAGGTTAATCAAAGAGACTTATGACTATATTGTACTTCATATTAAATTGGAATATAGTGATTATGCAGCAAAAAAGGATGCAGCAATTAATGGATTATCCTTTGCATTTTGGGTTTGTGAATTTTTTCTGTTCTCCTGCTGCATGCCACCTAAATCCATAGAAGACACACCAACCTAAAAATCAGCCCACCTCCTATGGCCTCTTATCCCTTCCTTTATCATCTCCTCTTATCAATCCCTTCTGCTCCAACTATTTCTTATTTCCCTTCTCATACTGTAAATCCAACTTCTAGTACAATATATACAGGAACCTAAGTTCTTTTCCCTTTCACCCGCCAAGAATTCGCACAAGTAGTTTAGATTTTCCCTATAGCATCCACGGAGGTTTTGGGTTCAAGTTCTACCCTCGGATGGCTTATGAATTTCTAATTCTCTTTTGTTCAATGATAATTTGAGTTTATATTTTATGCATGAAGGAACAGCATACCTAAGGCTGTCTATTACATCAGTTGTAGTAGCTGAAAACAAGTAAAATAATTTAACAAATGAGCTAGTACATCTGAAATTATTAATCTAAACAAAACCTAAACAATGGCTGCTTATAACTAAGAGATGGTTACTAAAAAAGTGAATTCAACACAAACAAGTTTAGCTTAATGGTTGTATACTTATAAAACTTTTCTAGTCAAGCAAGATTCGAATTTTAATGATTTCAAGTTTCTTTAGTAATTATATAGAGAAAAATTTTCTAGTCTAACAAGATTCGAATTTTAATGATTTTAAGTTTCTTTAATAATTATGTAATGGGAGAGGGTTACTTCGTATAGACCCAAAAAGCCTATGGACCTCTAATGAATAAAAAAAAATGAATTCAATTGATAAGTAAAAAACTCATTCAGTCCGCAAGATTAAAGGTTCGAGTTATTCTACTGTTCTTTAAGGAGATAACATATTTATCTCTGATCAAGCTCGACCTACGTCCTTCGAAAAGGTTCGAGTTCTACCCTCTGATCAAGCTCTCCAAACTCTTTTTTATCTTCTTTGTTTAGATGGTCAACCCCTCTTCATTCCCATTTTCATTTATCAAAGAAAAGGCACATTTGGAATGCTTGCATGCCTGGTTTCATCTAGGACAGTTGCTATTGCCCTAAGAGTTTGCATTTAGCATCCCCTTAAATAAAAAATAACAAACCTTGCTCTAAAGAGTACAGCTCACATGTATAGATGACTTTTGAAAGGAAGCTAGCCACCATTTTTGGAAGACTTTTGACACTCGTTATTTGTACTATATTAATGAGGTTAATATCCAAGAGAACTAATCCTCAATGCCATTAATTTGTGCACAAGGAGGTTTATCATCAGCCTACCAAAAAAAAAAAAAAAAACAATATTAGATCAACTCAACAGTTGAGAGAAAGCTAACCTGCTGCAGCTGCACCAACAACATCCTTCTTGGAGTCCCTGGTGGTGAGGACCTGTCTGGTTTTGTAGTCACCATGGGTGGCATAGAAATCGGAAAGTGACATGTTGATGCAACTCAAACCAATATTTCCATCCAAAAATTCCAAGCCAAGAACCACACCTACACTCACTGGAATTACTGTTGTGTTCTGGGCTACCAACACTTCTATGAACAAAATCTGTAAAGAAAGAAAGAAAAAGAGCAAACACAGAAAAGGGTTTGAAGGGCTTTTCTTCATCTTGTTTTATGCTGATTATTAGGGTGATTCTAGCTAGGTTTTTTGCTTAAACTTGAATGGAAAGGGAAACATCTCGTATTTATAAGGTCTGTGGGATACCTAAAGCCTAGAAGAAGAGCTTAGAACATTGCATGGGAAGGGCGCAACTGTATTATTTTACTGGTTAAAAGGTGCTCATTTCCCTAAATTATTGACCAAAACAAAATTAGTCTTTAAGAAAAAATTCTCTGATTTAACTTGGTGTGGCAGTTAAGTTTCACTAGGATACCATCATGTTTGACAATTAAAAAAAAAATAGTAAAAAATAACAAAAATTTTGTTAATAAAAATAAAAAATAAAGTGAAATGAAAAAAAAAATCTAAAATAAACAAAACAATTCTTAAAATTGATAGGTTTTTTTGGTCGCTTCCAAGAAACATATAGAACCAAAATAATTAACTCGAAGATATTCCTTACTCTGACTTCATCACCGTTTACTTTGATAAACAAAACAATTCTTCAAAATTGACAGGTTTTTTTCTTACAAGTCCTTAAATAAAGTTTTTAGGTCATCATATTTTACAGTAAATACAATTTAAAAGAATTTTGTTATTTCAATTATATTGGTAGAATTGTTTATTGCTGAAGAGTTAAATTGATAAATTTAGTTTTATAAGTATTAATCTATTGTTGTTGGGTTATTGAAGCGCCTTTACTTCGGTTTTGTTCTTGTTTTACTATATATATATTCAATAATTTTTCCTTTTTTTTTATTTTTGTCTCGATTCTTTTAGTTTAAAATCAAAAAATAAATTTTAAAAAAAAAAAAAAAGCTTTAACATTAACACACAAGTCAACCAATTTAACTCTTACATTGTCAATCAATCTCTTTGAATTATTTGACTAAATTTGATCAAGGTTTACAATTTGATAAGGATTTAATAGAAAAAACATTCCAAGGCTAAATTGTATTTAATGTAAAACACAATGATCAAAAACTTTCATTTAAGAACTTATTTATAAAAAATAAAATATAGGAATCAAAATAAGTTTTTCAAAAAAAAAACCTTCAATGACCAAAATGTATATCAGCAAAAACTTTCTTGTTGTAACCACATGACACATGTCCCTATATAATAATATTAGTAATGACAACCGATTGAATGATTATAGAATATTCAAGCACGTATAATTTATTATATTGGCATCTTAATTTCCTAATCTTGACTCCTGATATCGATGGTCTGCTCTTATATTAATTAATCGGCCTACTAGCTTGACGATAACACCTTGTTATTCAGGAAAAAAAAATTATACATTCTTTGTTGAAAAATAAAAATTATTAAAAAATATTGAAATCTTTATCCTATCTCATTCAAAAAAAAAAAAAAAAAAAAAAAAACTTTAGATATTCTTTGTTGTTATTTTCAAGGGCAAGATCCTTTCAACCTCTTTCTTGGCAAATAATCATCAAACATGTATGCGTTATTATATTCTACTGGCCCGATGCATAGGACAGTCATTTAATTGACTTGCTTATTAAGATTCAAATCTGCAAAATATTCTAACTTCCATTCCAGGAAGCTTTTTTTTTTTCTTTTGGATTTCCAAAATGTCTCAACTTCAAAAATTTAAATTAATTTTTCGTTATTCTGTCCAATACATAAGGCATAAAATAGATACAGTTATTCAAAGAATATTTTTCATATACAAAGACTCGAATCCGAAATCATTTATTTAAACCATTTAAATTTTTTTCATTTAAGCCAACTCTATTGAGTTCAAGAAAGCATCCTTTGTTACATTACAAAATTTATTTTTAAGACACATCATTCTCTCAACTTCAACAAGAATATTCGAACATATATAGGCTAATTAAGATATTAATTAAAGTAGTTAATATTTGTTGCTGAACCTTATGCAGATGGTTGCAAGGATGATGAAATCTGTTGGATACATATATGTGTGTGAGAGAGTGAGCGATAACTATCCCACATTGAAAAAAAAAATTGATTATATATAAATTGATAACTATCCCACATTTAAAATTTATTTTTAAGACACATCATTGTGTATAAGCTAATTAAGGCATTAGTTAAAGTCGTTAATATTTGTTGCTGAACCTTGTGCAGATGGTTGCAACGATGATGAAATCTGTTGGACATATGTGTGTGTGTGAGAGAGAGAGGGAGAGATAACTATTTCATATTGAAAAAAATTATTAAAAAAAAATTATTATATATAAATGGATCTATGATCTAATATTTTAGATTTTTTAGTTAAAATGATGTCTATAGCTTAAGTTTTTTTGTCAGTCAAAATGGTGTCTATTTTTACATGTAAGACTTCATGCGTGCTGGTCTATGTTCAAGTTTTATATTCTTTTGCTTGCTTATGAATCATCAAGTTGACCTCTTGAAGATGGAGTTGTAAGTGAAAGTCCCAAATTGGATTAAATTCTCCAAAAATGTCGAACATAAGCACAATGTCTTGTTATTGAATTCTACTCCCAATTATTGACTTTTTCCAAGGGAAGTTTCAAGAGAAAATGAATAAGCCATTACTTTAGTTTATTCCTTACAGCAAAATATCACAAATTCACCAGGTTTCTCTCTATCAATCCTTGCAATAAACTATCATAAGCCCTTATTCATTGCTTGACTGTATGTCCTCCTGAAAAATCAGGATCAAGCTATCCTACACCATCTATACTCTGTCAGCTTTTTGACAATAATGTGGCATTCAAAGTTACCCGTACATTAAAGTTTAACATTTTACAACTCTCTCTCTCTTGGATATTGAAAACCTGAAACAAAACCAACTAGATATTATAGCTGGAAATATGTGGTATGATCTCCTTGGTGCAATACAAGAAAAATAGTCCTCTCATTAGCTCTTCCTCTTTGGTTCAGATACTGACTAATACAAGCAGGGAAAACAAATTCATAAACTCCATGCTGAATAACGTTGCAACACATTTTTTTTTTTTTTTTTTTTGTAAAATCTACCATTATATTATATAATTAGGCTAGCAGGAAGCTAGCAAAAGAGAGATTACAAAACCAAGCTAAGCCTATGGAGACTAGACTTAGTTAAATAGTCCACCATATAGAGGTCCTTGCTCTGAGAAAATGGCATAAAGAAACTAATTTTAAACTCGAAATCGAGTTTGAAATGATATTAAAATTACTCGGAAGCTTCCAGAATCTATTACAGACAATAGCATTAGTCAAAACTGACTCTATAATCCAGTTAACTTGAAGAGTTAAAAGGAGAAACAATGTTGATTTCCAATACTTTCTTAATAGCCAGCATCTCTACTTCGTTAAATAATTTTATGCTCAGGAACTGAAAAACTACTTAAAATATTGCCACAATGGTCCTGCAAAACACCAGTTGTATCAGAAGTACCTGATTTTCCTTTAAAAAAAAAACTCATTCGCATTCTAATTACCATAATTTTGACCCATATAGCATATCTAGCAATTACTAGTTAGGTCAAGATCTTGATGTCAATATAAAACAACATAGCTTATTTGTGAATTCACGAATAGTTTGTGATAATGTTAAAAAATTCTGAAACTCAATTTCATTCCAGTAAAAATCTTTAAAAGCAAAATGTAGCTATCCGGGCAATTTAGTCCCTTGAAAAATAGTAGAAAATAAGCCTATCTGCAAGTAGAAAACATGGAGTGAATGGAAACTAAAAAACATCATTACTAGTTACATTTACTTTACAACGCTAGTTGTCTAATGGTGTCGCGTGAAAATCTACAAGTTAATTGCTTTCCTGGTCTATTTGTAAACCAGTTGGTCTCTCTTGATATGGGATGGTTTGCTCATCAATATTTATTACAACCTCATGACGTTCTTCCCTATTCGGGCTGGAATCATACTCTGTAGAGGATGAATCTCTAGGAAATTCTGTTTGCACTGAATTGGCCAATGGACTTGGCTCGCCCATGCTTGGCAGATCAATCCCACTTCTGTCATGCAGTTCACTTTTTCTGAAAGCATGTGATGTCAAGTCCCTTTGATTGAAAATGCTAAACAAATGTCGAATTCTACTCCATATTGAAGCTGTGGAATCAGAGGGCGTCAAGACTCTCCTTTCGCGGTAAACAAACATCACTATGAAGATAATGAGAGCTACAAGTGCAGCTATTCCAGCAATTAAAAATAATGCCCAGAAACTCTCAAGACTAAGGCTATTAGATGAAACCAAGCTACTGGAATCTGGACAGCTGCTTTGTTTGCTAAGCCATTTATCCTCGATTTGCTTCATTTTATCTCCCTCGGTCACATTCAGAATTGCCCTTGATATATCAGGGACTAGAGGAGAACCTTTAGGGAAGACCTGAAGTCACAAGAAAGTATACATGAGAAGCTATAAACTCACTTGGGAGACAGAGAAATGGAGATAGAAAAGTGAACTTACAAAGCCAAAACCGCCTGTCTTAAATTTAGGATCAATCATGATATATTTGGAGCAATACTTTGACAGAAAAAGTTTCATAAATAGCACTTCATCGAAAGCAGCATCAATTCCACCATTTCCACTTCCTTTAGTGAAAAGTTCATAGCATTCTTCTGTAGAATTATACGCCATTAGGTTGGAGTTGTCGAACCCCAAACTTAACAAGATTCCTTGAACAAAAGAACCCTTCTGGTAGCCAACATACTGTCTATTCTTAATGAGCCTATGTACATCAGTAACTGTAGGCTGCAGCTGCTGGACGGTGAGTAGACTCGTTAAACTGGCTGTGTAGCTTTGTGTGAGAATCAGCACCAGGAAACACCATATGATTACCACTGCTCTAGACAAGTTGCTAACCACTTTCTCCCCTGTAAAGTATATAAAGTTCATTAGGTGTTTGAGATATTAATCATTTATATATTGGAGTACTTCAACTAGGGAAAGGACGTTACATTACTTTGTGCAAAAACCATAGTGGAGAAGGAAAACCAGAAGCTAGTGCCAGCTTGATTTGAGGCAGGCCCTCGAAAATCTTCATTTATTCTGTGTTCGAGAACCCACACTACAAATCCGATGAAAATAAAGAAACAAATACTTGTCACCCAAAGGTCCCATGTCAACGGTTTCAAGAAAACCCAAGCGTTTCTGCTCTTGTTATCTACAATAGGAACAATCATTGAGACACCACTTTCGGTGAAAGGCAAGGTGTAATCAATGTACAAGGACCTATTAAAGACAATGGTGATGTCTCCAACCACAGCATCATAATTCTGTTGGCAGTAAACAAAAATGCAGAAGAAATAAATTTCATTAAACTTGACTTGCATCAATGTGAATAATATTCTATGTAACATGTTTATAAGTACTGACAAATGATAGATGAAAGTTTTACCTCGAAGTACACTTGATCGACCAGATCATTGTAAGTTCCAGCAGGCTCGCCGTCAGGCTTAGCAAAGGGGATGTAGTCATAAGGCAAAGAATAAGGTAGTGCTTCTACTACAGCGTCAAATACATCTATGCAGAATCCGGTGACTTTTGAGGTGTCTGAAATATTATCTTTAGTCACTGTCACAACCTCACGGAAACCATGCTTGACAGGCACTCCTATCCTCAACTTCTTTCCACTTGTTGGAATCTCCCAACCCTTGGGAAAAGAAGTTGTATCACCCGGCCATATTACAGCTGAAAGACCAGAATTTGAAGCTGAGGATGCAGTCATATTTTTTGTTGAGTTTATTGTTTTGACAATTCCTTCTGTCGGTGTCCAGAATCCAATCTCTCTTCCCCCATTGCCTATGGCATTTATTATCTGGAAAGCTGATGACTGTAACTGCCCACTAACAAAAAGGTAATCACCTGTGAGGCCTTTGAAACTAGTGTTTGATAAAGCTTGAAGAAGGTTTGGACCATTTAAAGATATGCCAAGAGGTGCAAGATCCGTTGATGAAATGCTAGTAGTATTTGCCTTTTGGAAGCCTAAATTTGCTGTTCCAGCTTTCTCAACTGCTAAGGCCAATGCCATTGCAGCATCATAGGCCCATAGTCCATAAATGCTCAAGTCAGCATCAATCATATGTGGATTATCTTGTTGAAATTTTCTCTTCCACCTGACTCGAAAATTTTCGAGCCCGTTTGTTCTTGGGACATAAGTTTTAACACCTAACACCCCTTGCATTGTATCAGTGACAGAAGGATTTGGTGAACTCAACAAGTCAGTTGTCAGGCCATCGGTCATGATCCAAACATAGCCTTTACTCATCATTCCAATCTCTTTAGCTTTGGCAAAAAGCCGAATGCCAAGAGCAGGATACATATGAACGACGAAAACTCTAGTTTGCATTGTCATCAACTTATAAAGCTCCTTAACAATTTGATCATCAGTGGCTGATGGAGAAATGACACTCCGGTAGGGCACTTGAGCACCAACTGCTTGCAAAGCATCAGTCAAATAAGGAATGACTCCCTTCCCATATTCGTTGTCAATGTAGATGGGTACTGCTTCTCTCCATCCAAAGGCTTGAACTATTGCACTTATGGCATTCACTTGAGTTGAATCATCCTGTGTAGCTCGGAAAAAGTAGGGATTTCTGACTGAAGTAAGAGAGGGACTTGATGCAGAAAATGATATGATGGGCACCTGAGTTTTGTTTCCAAGGTCAATAATAAAATTGGCTTGCGTTGACGTTGTTGGCCCTATGATTGCTTGCACTTCCGCATTTTTTATCAAATCCAGGGCTGTGCTTCGAAAGGGGATGAACAATGAAATTTAAGAACTGTAATCAATTTCTTCTTTAAATAATCAATGAAGATTAGTGGAAAAGACAACAAATTAGAATTTTAATATGACAACCGAAAATTGCTACCGTCTTCTTGTCTAGCCATCCTTCTACTCATCTACACAAGCTATTCCATGTTGTTCTACCTATCTCTTACTTTCCTTCTTTCGCCACCAACCTAAATTTGAGCAGAATATGGCCCTAAGTTGCTATTTTTGTAACTTGAGGGCTAAAGATTGTATCAAGTATTGGTTCTATATCCACCAAAAATGTCATTTGATTATCAGAAATAAAAATATTGAAATCGAAATGACATTTAAAAACTTAGAATGAATTTTTTTTATTATAATATTGTGTGTTAGAATAGTAATAAACAATCAGAATTGAATTTATAATTTTTAATATTTATTTTTTAAAATAAATAAGAATAATGATTAAAAAATAATTTTATCAATTATAATAATAGTAAAAATGATAAAGTGATTGCACCGATGATATTAGTGAAGGTAAGAAAAGTGATGATGATGTAATATAATAAAAATGATAATGGTTATGGAAAAAAATTAGTGATAAAATAATAATAATAATAACAATAATATTTTTTTGAAATTTTTTATTCCCACCACTAATAGTGGTGGTAATGGTTTCAATAGTAGAAGTTATGGTAGTGATAAAAATAATTAATATATAATAAATAAAAATAATATATTATTATTGTCATCATTTTTGCATAAAAAATTACATATATCATAGATGCCGCCAGCAGACGGCAGCAAGTTGCACAAATTATTCAATGATCTTTACATCTTAATCTAATAATCCAAAGGAAACAAGTAAACAAGTGATTAGGCATGAAGTGCTTGTTAGCTACTGACAATTGAAATTGGCCTAAAAAATGTGCCTATAATATTCCCCTATAAATAATTCTGTACTGCTTTCTGAAGCTCATTTTAAAATATTAGTTTTTGTAGCAATTTATTTTTCCTGTCTTTTTAATAGCTCTGAAGTCAAATGATACCATTCTAACATCAATAGCGTGGAAATGCCTAGTCTACAATAGCAAGCACAAACTAGAGATCGAGAGGACCTCTCGCATAGATGAAGAGTAAATTCTAAATTAGTTCCTTTAGTTCGAAAAACAAATTAATTGTTCTTTTGTGTTTTAAAAATTAATTTTTTAATTATTTGACCAGTATTGATGATATTTAATTTAATATATATTATTTTAAAAAATATTTTATTTAACCAGTAAATTCTAAATTAGTTTCTCGCATCGATGACCTTTTATATTTTTAAATTTTTTTCTATTTCTTAGAATCAAAATTAAAAAGACGAGTTAATATGTTTTTTAAAACTGAAAAAACTAATTTATAATTTATTTCATAGATGACATGTGAAAGCAAGCTGGCCATGATTTTTGAAGAATCGTTTGACTGTTCTGACCCTCATCACTTGCCACTTTGACCATTATTCTTATTTATTGTTCAAAGGTGCTTATCACTCCTAGTCCAGCTGCCTAACTCACGTAATCATTTTAAATATGATAACAGGTTACGAAAAAGAAATTTCTAATGAACAATCAATTCAAATACTGACTGAGGTGGGTTATTTTTAATCGTAGTACATAAAATATAGTCTGAAAATATCCCTAACTATCGAGAAAGAGTAGGAAAAAAATGGGAAACAAGCATGCAACAGTATGTTCTCATAATTATCTGGATTGCGAATTTCGATCATCAAACTAAAAGAAGATGAAGGTTGATCACTTCATAATTAATACACAACGTATAAATATCTACTATTAAAATTAGCTGTCAAAAAACCTTCTCAATCCGAGAATTTAAACTACTAGATGAAGGTTAAGAAAACAGATGAAAAAATCAAGAAAGAGGGAGGAGGGAGAAGGAACCTGCAGCAGCAGCACGAACAACATCTTTCTTGGAGTCCCTGATGTTGAGGACCAGTCTGGTTTTGTAGTGGCCATGGGTGGCATAGAAGTCTGAAAGGGACATGTTGATGCAGCTCAACCCAATATTGCCATCCAAGCGATCATTGTCCAGGTCAAGAACCACACCTACATTCACTGGGATTATAGATGCTGTGTTTTGGGCCATTCCCATTTCAATTAACAAAATCTTCAAAGAAAGAAAGAAAAGGAAAGAGAGAGCTGGATTTGAAGGGTTTTTCCTGATCATCTTGTTGTCTACCTATGCTTGAGCTGATTCCAGTTTGTTGGTTTAAGCTTGAAAGAAAGATCTCTCTTATCTATACAAGCCTGTGGCCTGTGGCTTTTGAAAAGGATGGATACATAAAGCCTAGCAGAAAGCGTTAAAGAAAAAGCGAGTGAAGAGGACCCAACTATAAATTTATTTAAACTTTCAATATAGGAGAGATTACTGATTGTCTTGCTAGGAAATTTCATGTTTGGATTATTTTTTTATTCGTTTCAACATTCAGGATTTTTTTTTTTATTTATTTATTGGAAGATTAGTAAACAAAGACCAAGGCCTATTGAAGGTCAAACTAGTAGCATCTCCCACTAGAAACAGAAGCATACAAGGAACTTAAAAAGATTTTGGGGTTAAAATCTTTTTATTTTTTTATTTTTTTTTTTTCACAATCTGCTCCCTTAATTTGGAACCTGATTAATTGGGTAGCAAACTTGCTTTTTTCCTTAACCAAGAACTTAAAAAGATTTTGCATCTAGTGATGGAGTTATCCTCCTTTCCCTTCCTTTGTAAAAATAATTAAAAAAAAAAATCTGAAACATAAATGGGATATTAATTAGGGTTTGGTTAAATAAACTGAATTTAGAAATGTAAAGTAATTGCTTAATATTATTCCAAAAAAAAAAAAATGGAAGCAAATCTTGTTCAAAAATCACTCTCTAGAGGAAAGCGATTAAGAGAATAGGAGGAACAAAAAGTCTTAGCAGAATATTTAATTGCGTTTATTTAGATGTCTTCTACCCCAAAGTATTCCTTTGTCTTATTTTATCATCGTTTACCTTGACTACATTAATGCACATGTGGTTACTGGTTGTTGAGTTTCCAACTTGCATATATATATATATATATATATATATATTTCTCATAAAGTCTCAAGTTCAATTTTTTTCTTAAAAAGAATTATATATATAATTTTTGTTTGTTACATTAAATAAATATAAAAATATAAAATAATATAAAAGATATTGAATGGAACACCCATCATAAAACTTAAGTTTTTTAAATGAAATTCACATTCAATTATTAAATTTTATACAGTATCAAAGTCACTTGATAAATTTCAAAAATTCATATTGAATAAATACAAAAATTTAAAATATTATAAAAAAATGTTGAATACACCACTCAATATGCTTGCTTAAGTGTTTTGGATGAAAGAAAGAAAAACATTGGATTTCTTATTGCAGCCAAAAACAGAAAGAAAAAAGAAAGGCAACAGATTCCTTATTACAGCAAAAAAAAAAAAAAAAAAAAAAAAAAAAGAGCTTTTATGGAAAAGTATATATGTTTTAAAAAGAGCAATTTACCCCACATGATCTAATTGAATGTATTTTTGTTAAATCCAATGTTGTCGTAATCCTATATACTTACAAAAATCGCTAATTATACTCTTTTTTGTTCCTAACATTGTCATATTGTTTTGGATTTTTTGGATATTTTTCTTGGCAAACAATCATCTAATCACAGTGCATGTTTAATTGTCTACAATTCAAGTCAGTCATCTAGTTTACTTACTAAAATAAGGCATGGCAGTCATCTATTACTAAAATAAGGCATGGCAGTCATCTATTTTACTTACTAAGATAAGGCATGGCCATCTTTCGAGGAAGTATCCTTCGTTATGTCCCAAAATTTGTTTCCAAGACACATGGGCGGCCATCTCATATTAAGTTCAACTTTTCTGTCCACCTAGTCCTTGTCTGCCAATTGAATCCCAATCATCTATATTCTACAATAGCTTAAGATTAGTAACATAACATTTATATCAAGGAATTTGATCTAGTAGTAAGAATTGTTTTGTTTTAGATAGATGTTCAATTCTCATTATACACGAGATAATTAATCATAATTATTTTTTAAAGATATTAGATTTAGGTTGGTTTGTTCTAAAAGACAATTCAATAATCGATTAAAAGCTAGATTTATTTTGATACTAAATTAATTCTAAAAATCATAAACTTAGTATTGGTTGATATTGCAAAACTGGTTTGATGAGAATATTTCACTACCTATAAATATCAAAAAAAATATATAATAATAACTTTTGTCAGTAATATAAAGGTTGTTTGAATGAAACATTAACCATAAGATTTGAGTTTTTTTTGGATAAAAATTGTCTAAAAGCTGAAGTAATAAAAATGTATTAGAAAAAAAAAAGTCAACTTGGAATTCAATTTCTGCTGCTTGCTTGTACCTAGTGCCATGATCTAGAAAGTCAACTTGAAGATGGGATAGGAATTCGATGTCTCAACTTGAATTCAAGTTTAAAGAGAATTCTGAAAAAGATCTTGGTCTCGGGCATGATCCTTATAATTTAATTTATCTAGTAGGTTAGAGTAATTAATTTATGATCAAGTCCATGAATTTTCCAGTTGTAGTGTTAAACCATTGAAATTTATAATCCCAACTTAATATATAATATAAAATATATAATAAATAATAAAAGACACAGGTAGAGGGTAAACTATTGAAGAGATTATAATGCTCCTCTTTATTACTCCATTTGTTTTAAAAAAAATGTAATATTTGATTTTTTTACACTTATTAAAAAAAATTATATCTTCTATTTCTCTTTTTTATGGAGTAATTATTGACTTCTTAAATAATATAAAATTTATCTAATGTGTCATTATTTACATTTTATATCTATATTTTTAAAAGATGACACTTCCTTAACCAATAAATTGTTGGATCGGTGGTAATTAAGCGAACTGATCTCCGTAAGATGAATTTTTTATTAATATGTAATATTTGAATTTTGAAGTGTATTTATTAAGAAGAGTTAAACTTTGTTGTTCATATTTCCTTAATTATTACCTTTAATTAAGAGTACTTGGTAAAATATATAACTTAAATACTTTGATCAAAGCATCATATATATATATATATATATATATATATATATATATGTAACTTTTAAATTCTATTATTTTGTTCATCATGCTTATTTATACAAGGTTGTAAGGCTTGAAAAGTGTGCATGATTCATAAAGCCTGGCAGGAAGAGTTCAAAACAGTGCGTGGACAGGACCCAACTATATTAGTTTAATCTTTAAAAGGTGGAGGGTTTTACTAATTGTTGTTTCCAGGAAATTATTACACAGACTAGGTTCTTTTGGGTCAAAATTATCTGATTTATTGGTACAGTAAATCCTGTAATAATTTCTAACCACGGGGAGTTTGTAATGTAGTAGAACAGAGCGTGGCAAAACATGCAAAACAAAGGTAAAAAAGATTCAGCCATTTCACTCCTTTGATCTTGAAGCAAGATACATCCGGCCAGTTGATTGGAAATCGGCAAAATACAATCAATTTGCTAAGCTACAAGCTAAGTCAATTGTTTTCGTGGTTTATTTCAATAGCTGCTGGTCTATCTTGATTTGGGATGATAGGCTGATCAACATTTTGTACTTCCTCTTGATCAGGTGGTTCTGCATTCGGATTCCGATCATCACCTTGGTCTGCAGGTGGAGGATCTCCAGGGATAGCTATGTGGTTTGGGTTCGGTTCACTCTACATCTAAACACGAGTAAATTATAAATTAGTTTCTTTAGTTTTGAAAACCGAATTAATTTATTTATTTTACAAAAAAATAATAATTTAGTTTTTCATCTATTTTATTTTTTTCTAATTTATTTTATTTTATTTTTATTTGAAAAAAATAAATAGATATTACGGAGAAATTGAAGAGAAAAAAATATTTTTTAAATAAAAATATATTAAGTTCAACTTTTCTGCACACCTACTTCTTGTCTGCTAATTGAATCCCAATCTTCTATATTCTACAATAGCTTAAGATTAGTAACATAACTTTTATAACGAGAAATGATCCAGCAGCAAGAAGTTGTTCTGATTTGATTAAAATTAAAATTCAATTTTCATTATATATGAATCATAATTATTCTTTAGTCAATCTGTCGCTACCCGATGTCGGATGTGACTCCCAAAAAATAAGTTTAATTATTATTTAAGATTAGTTATTTACAGAGTTATTTATAAGTTCAAAGTCGTCACCTACTATTAAGGAATTAAGAATCTAAAAGTAGCACTGGTTCATAGATTCTTAAAGTAATGAATTGATTACACTTTTGAAAAAATATTTAATCACCCGTAAGTGTTTTTTTCCGAAGAAAGGTACCATATCTAGTTTAATGCTAAATTTATCTCCTAAAGTGTTTTATTTATGTCAAATTATTTTTTGATTTGAAACTTCAATTTTTCAAGTTAAATTAATTTTTTTGGTTTTGGGCGTGGGATTGTATTGAAACGATCGTCGGTCCCTTCATCGGACGACATAAATCGGTTCAAACATCACATCAAATCCACTTTAAGCTTTGACACAACCGATTTGTCGGAGAACATCTTGATTAAAAGTGTTGATTTTTGTAATGACGATCCCTATCGGATATAAGATTTTATCAAGGAATTTTTTTTTTTATCAAACGACATTTCCTATCGGATAAGAGACTTCGTTGAGAATTTTTATTTTTTTGATCAAACGACAGTCCCTATCGGACAAGAGACTTCGTTGAGAATTTTTATTATTATTATTATTATTTTGTCAAGCAACAATCCTTATTAGATATGAGACCTTATTGAGATTTTTATTATTATTTTTATTTTGTCTAATCTAATAACTGAAATTAATAAATTCCCAAAAAATGTTTAAAATATCAACTCTAAAATAGTGCAAAAATACAGCGAAAAATAAGAATCATTAGGCTGTATAAAAAATAAATAAATAAAATCAAAATGTTAAAAAAAATCATTTTGGACCCTAAGCCCATTAACCCATACCTTATTTCTCTCCTAACCATTCTGTCTAATTCGGCTTCTTTCTCTTTCTTCTTCTTCCTTCTTTTTTTTTTTTTTTTTCACTTTTTATGTTTGTTTATTTTTCAGTTACTTCTTCTTTTTTTTCTTTTTTCTTTTTTTTCTCTCTTTGTGAAGCTAGACCAACTCCAGCTTTTCATCTTATTTGTTTGTTTTTTACGGAGGAAAAGGGAAGGTTCAGTCCAGCCTCTTTCCTCCTCTTTTTTTTTTTTTAATCGCTAGGCTAGGGCTGGGTTGAAGCCAGCCCAGCCTTCCCTTCATGTGGGTTGGGCTAAGCCCAACCCACTTCTTTCTACTTTTTAAAAAAAATTGTCGGACTGGACTTCAAGCCCAAAAACAAACCTTGCTTCTCTCATTTTCATTTTTTCCGATCAAAAACTCAAATTTTAGGCTCCTGACCCTTTCTCTCTCTTGTTCTCCGTGTTCTTCATTTTCTCTCTCTATTCATCATTTTCTTCCGAGAATTTAAACCCCCGTTTTGAATCGAAGTATAAATGACTAAGGTCTATTCATTCGATAGAACTAAAATCTATGATCCAAACTTCACAAAACAAATTAGACAGCAACAATTAATGTGACTGACATTGAAGAAAGTGAAAACTGGAAAAAATTATGAAATGAACTAACCTGAATTGCTTATGATGATGAATCCTAGGGTTAATTTCGTGAGGATTAATGAAGCGAAGCCAATTTGGAATGCTCGGATAAAGTGCAAAATCCAAGAACTAAAACTAGGTAGTCCATCAAATATTGTGGAGAAACCCAGAAAAAGGATGAACACCCAGAGCAAACTGCCCAGAAAATGCAGCAACCCAGAAGCCCAAGGATGCCTAAACCTAGTGATTTTCAAACCTCTACCCTCGATTTATCTTTCTCTCCAACCAAAAAACCAAAATCCTTATCAAAACAAAAATAAACCCTCTTTAATTTTCCCAGAAAATGAAGAATGTGAACCCAGAAATTGATGAACAAAAGGATGAACGGCAGAGCTGCTGCCAAGAAAAATTTTGAGAACCCAAAAATGCAAGTTAGGCACAATAAACAGTGAACTGAGTTGAATAAACAGAGTAATTAAACACAAAAAACCAGGAAAAAACAAGACAAACAAATCAAAATATTCCCCTGGTGAAGAACCAAAAAATCCAGAAAGCTAAGAACAAAGCCTCCTGCCCAGAAATTTCCCAGAAAAGCAAGCCACCCGAAACTAAAAACAAACTTTGAATTCTAATCTTTTCTTTTACTCTCTCGATCCAGAATTCTATCTATTTTTCTCCCCTCTGTCTCTGAATTCAGAACCTTTTATACGCACGAATTTGCTTAAATTTCTCCTAGAATCAAACAATCAATCCCGAATGTACTGTCAAATCTCAAATTTTGAGATTTGATTAGCTAAAAAAAAGGAAAGGGATAAATGATTACATGATTCGGCTGATATAAATTCCAGCCAAGAATCATGGTAAATGCAAAATCAAAAAACGCAATTGGTAGAAGATCTGGACAGATTTTTGAAGGATTTTTCGGAGTGGACGACAGGTCTTTCCTCTCAATTTCAGTCCTGTCCTTCGCACCAAAATTCCAATTGGATCCCTATAGATTTCAATGTCCGCAATGATGCCATCCTTCTGTGTAATTTCAGTCTTGTAAAGTGTAATTTTATCAATTGGATTCCTGTAGGGTGTAAATTAGGTTCTGAATTTCCTAATTGGTTTGATTATACCCCTAATTACTTCAATTACACCTTTCTTTAAATGCAATTATGCCTCTGGATGAATGTTTTTGTATTTTCTACATATTTCTCTTTTTTTGTATTTTTATTATTTTTTCTCTTTTTTTGATTTTTTTGTAGTAAACTCCAAAATGAAATAGAAAGAAACAAAATAAGAAATAAATAACAATAATAAAAATATATGGAGAAATTTTAGGTTATGACACAACCAAAGGCTAAGCTTATTATAGCAAAATACATACTTTAAATAAATCATTTAGTTACAAGATGAAGAAGAAAAAAATAACTTGACATTTAATAATATAGAAAAAGTCATTTATTGATTTTTAATATATATTTTTTAAGAATAACTAAAAGTTTAATGTTAGTTTTAGAGACTCTTTAGCTCGTAAAAGTATCATTACTGCAGTGGCTAGCTTATGTTCCTTTTGTGTTAATTTGTTGAATTTACAAAACACATTTTGTTACAATACAGTGAAGTTTGGAAATTGTAGTCCCAGGTCGTGGTAGGGTTGTGTTTAGGTGGTTCATGACACTAGTATGGATAATATTTTGTGTTTAGGTCGTGAAAATTGTTTAATACTGAGGAGAAGAATATTTTTTATAAAATATATAGGTGAGAAGAATTTTTTTTTTTTTTTTTTTTTTGAAATTATGTATATTTGATGCACACTTGGTGTACTAGTATGGAAAATCTTCCACAATGCACTAGCAGTTGAGAAGAACAGTATTAATCAGTATCTTTCATTTTCAAGGTTAATTTCACCAGCTTTGGCCATCTTTAATTAAGGGTTCCAAGCTTTCTGCAGATTCAAAGGTAATGCTAAGAACAATTAATTCCATGTTCATTGTCTCTCAGTTTCTCAAGCTAAACTTTACTACCTAGTTTTTTAAGATTATTCTAGGAGTAAATTATAAATTGGTCCTTCCAATTTTGAAAAATAAATTAATTAATTTTTTTTTATAAAAAAAGTATTATTTAGTTCTTTTGACTAGAGTTGACCGTACTTAATTTAAGATTAATTTATTCTATAAAATGTTTTTTTTTTATCAATCTTTCTATTTGTTTACTCATTTTTTTTTTAAAAAAATTAAATTGAAAAAGAGTGAAATGAATCATTTTTCAAACGTAATTTTTTTAATACTAAATATATTTTTTGCTTATTTATTCCAAATATTTATTATATTGTCATAAGTTATTTTGGTCATTTTGTAAAATTTTGACCAAACGTCAATTTAATTTCTAACGGTGAACTAAGAGATTTTTAACACAAGATAGAAAGTACAATCACGAAAATAATAATAATAATAATAATAATAGAGAATGAAAAGTGTAAGATTTTCAAAACATATGATGCAAAGTGTAATGCCGTCTAAAATAAAGGATGTTAGGGATAATTAACTTTCTTTTTTCTTTTCCTTTTGTGTTAATTTGTTGAATTTACAAAACACATTTTACTTTTATTCCAGTGGCTTTTGTATTTGACTCTTTTATAGCCTTGTTGTGTTCTATCCAAATTAGGACAAAATCTTTTCTTTTATTTTTCACAGAATGTTTTATTGAATTCAGCTTGTAGATTAGCATTTTGTATATACAGGAAATGATCCGGCCAAAGTACGAGCTGCAGCTATTTGAGTTAATTCTCCTACGTAAATGGGTCTTCGTTAGGCAAACCAAGGATAGGTGGTGTTTTGCGAGATTTTTTATGTACTTTTTCAAGTTCTACGGTGATAATAAGATTCCAATAAAGTGGAAATTATTACACAGACTAGTTCCTTCGGGTCAAAATTATCTGATTGATTGGTACAGGGAATCCCGTAATGGATGTCAAATGTGATTGGTTTGGTAACAAACCAAGTCCATGTAATAATTCCTAGCCATGGGGGGTTTGTAAAGTTGTACTAGAACAGAGAGTGGCTAAAGGAAAGATACTAAAATATGTATTGACTCGAGTACTTGACATGCAAAACAAAGGAGAAAAAGATTCGGCCATATCACTCTTTTGATCTTGAAGCAGGATCCATCCCAGTTGATTGCAAATCAGCAAAATACGATCTATGGGCTAATCTACAAGTCAATTATCTTCATGGTTTACTTCAATAGCTGCTGGTCTTTCTTGATTTGGGATGATAGGCTTATCAAAATTTCGTACTTCCTCCTGATTAGGTGGTTGTGCATTCGGATTCGGATCATCACCATTGTCTGCGGGTGGAGGATCTCCGGGGATAGCTATGTGGTTTGGGTTCGGTTCACTTCTATAGCTACAGAAAGCATGGGATTTTAAGTCCTTCTGAATGAAAATTCTAAACAAATCGAGAATTCTCGTCCATGTTGAAGCTTCTGAATCGGAGGGCTGCAGGAGTACTGTTCTGTGCTCGTTAACAAAGATGGCTATGAAAATCATAAGAGCTAAAAAAGAAGCTACTCCAGTGATTAAAAATAATCCCCAAAAACTCTTCAGACTAAGGCTATTAGATGAAACCGAGGTGTCGGAATCTAGACACCTGCTTTTTTTGCCAAACCAAGCATCCTCGATTTCCTTCATTTTATCTCCTTCAGTGAAATTTAGAACTGCTCTTGATACGTCAGCTACAAGAGGAGAACCTTTAGGGAAAACCTGAAACTCAAAGAACAGAACAGACCACCATGAGAAACTATACTTGCATGTACATGAACGATAGAGCCGGAGAAGGAAGAGAACTCACGAAGCCGAAACCGCCTGTTTTAAATGTAGGTTCGACCATAGTATATTTGGAGCAATACTTAGATAGTAGGAGCTTCATATATGGAACTTCATCGAACGCAGCAGCAATGCCACCATTTCCGCTACCTTTGGAGAAAAGCTCGTCGCATTCTTCCAGAGAACTATACACCATAAGCTTGGATTCATCAAAACCTAAGTGTTTCAGGATTCCCAACACAAAAGAGTTCTCTAGGTAGCCCACAAACTCCCCTTTTTAATGAGCTCATTTACGCTGGAGACTGAAGGCTGGAGCTGCTGAACGGTAAGCATGCTACTTAAGCTGGCGGTGTAGCTTTGAGTTAGAATGAGCACAACGAAACACCATATGGTTACAACTATTCGAGCCAAGTTGCTAACCACTCTCTCCTCTGAAATATAAAGAACATCAATTAGGTATCATAAACATCAAGTCTATGTTGAATTGAAGGGCTTTAAGCCTTTAAACATTTACTATATATGACTAATTAAGTACTACACATTCAAAAGGTGAAGGGAAATAGCCCAATTACTATGTGCAAAAACCATGGTTGAGAAAGAAAACCAGAAGATGGTGCCTGCTTGATGTGAAGGAGGTCCTCGAAAATCTTCATTTATTCTGTGTTCAAGAACCCAAACAACAAATCCAACGAAAACAAAGAAACAAAAGGTTGTGGCCCAAAGGTCCCAAGTCAAAGGCTTCAAGAAAACCCAAGCATTTTTGTTTCTTTCGTCTTTGATTGGAACAATCATCCAGACGCCACTTTCTGTGTAAGGCAACGTAAAATCAACGTACCTGGACCTGTTGGCAGTAATAGTTGTATCTCCGACCACAGCATCGTACTTCTGTTGGTAGTAATGCATTATGTATATATAGGCATGCATGGTGCTAATATTAAAGAAAAATAATCAGAAGTACCTTTAAGTACACTTGATAGACCAGATCATTGTAAGTTCCAGCAGATTTGCCGTTGGGCTTGGCAAAGGGGACGTACTCATAAGTCAAGGCATAAGGTAATTCCTCAACTACGGCATCAAAAATAGCTATGCCGTATCCTACGACGGTTGTCATATTGGAACTGTAATCTCTTGTCACTTTCACAAATCGATTGAAACCATTGACGGGTACTCCTATCCGCAACTTCTTCCCGTTTGTAGGAATCTCCCAGCCCTTGGGAATAGAAGTTGAATCCCCTGCCCATATAATAGTTGCAAGACTGGACTTGGAAGTAGAATAAGTACTGGCATTTGTTTTGGGCTTAAGGTTTTTTTCGAGTCCATTTCTCGATGTCCAAAATCCAATCCCCCTTGCTCCATTTTCATTCATATTAACTATTTGGAACGCCAATGATTGTAGCTGCCCATTAATGAAGCGGAAATCTCCTGTGAGACCTTCAAAACTAGTTTTTGATAATTCTCTGAGGAGGCTTGGACCATTTTGAGAGACCCCGAAATTTTCAAGATCGGTTGATGAATTGTTAGAAACATTTGCCTTTCGAAATCCTAAGTTTGCAGTACCAGCTTTCTCAATTGCCATGGCCAATGCTATTGTAGCATCATAGGCTTGTATTTCATAAATGTTAAACTCAGCATCAACCATGTCTGAATTATCTTGTTGGAATTTCCTTTTCCACCGAAACCGAAAATTTCCTAGCTCCATTGTTTTTGGAACATAAGGCTTAACCCCCAATACTCCTTGCATAGCATCAATGACAACAGGATCTGGTGAACTTGAGAGAGCTGCGGTCAGCCAATCAGTCATGATCCACACATAGCCTTCACTCATCATCCCAATCTCTTTAGCTTTGACAAAAAGCCGGGCGCCAAGAGATGGAAACATGTGCACAATGAAAACTCTAGTTTGCATTGTCATCAACTTATAAAGCTCTTCAACAATTTGATCATTAGTAGCTGAAGGAGAAATGATACTGCGGTAGGGAACAAGAGCATCAACTTCTTGCAAAGCATTCGTTAAATAAGGTATGATTCTCTCTCCATATTCGTTGTCTACATAGATAGGTACAGCTTCTCTCCATCCAAAGGCTTGAACCAGTGCACCAATGGAGTTGACTTGACTTGAGTCATTTTGCGTAGCTCGGAAAAAATAGGAACTCCTGATGGAAGTAAGAGAAGGACTCGATGCAGAAAATGATATAATGGGCACCCGAGCATTTTCTCCAAGGCCAATAACAAAGTTTGCTTGCGTTGATGTTGTTGGCCCTATAATTGCTTGCACTTCCACATTTTCTATCAAATCCAGGGCTGCATTACGCAAAGAATAGAAAAAAGAATTATAATAATTTTGTTTATGATTCAAGATTAATGTCATGGAAAAGACTAGCTAAACTCCTATAACAAAGCTAATAAAACTTTAATGTCAAGTTCATATTTACTTAATATCTCTTTTTCTATCTTTCTTTTTCTTTATTAATTTTTCTTATAAGTTTTATCCAATACTCAATTTAGTATATTTTTTTCATTCGATAACTCATATCCAGTTATTTTTCTTTTTATTACAAGCAGTAGTTTAACCTAACTTAGGAAGAAAAGAAATTCTAGTTCAAAGTCAAATGTTTTGCAGTTTTCACATTAAAACAAAACTGACCGAAGACTGCTAGGGCAATGAAGTAGGAAAATTCTTGGTCTACCTCCCCAAACACTACAAACTAGCCATAGATCTTTACATGACTTTCAAACCTATAATTTTACGTGTTAATCACGAATTATAAATGACTTATAACAGTAAGATACAATGTCATATGAAAAATAAACAACGTCATAATAAAGAGTTTGAAACAAAAAAAAATGTTAAAAATAAAAAAATATTAAAAATTAAAGAGTTTTGATTAAATAAAATAAAATGGATGGTTTAAATACAGAAAAAAACCATTCTGAAATTTTATCCATTAATTTCTCTTCTTGAACTTGAGACATGTTAGTGAAATTTTAATTCGTTTTATATTATCTATTTTATGGATGTCCTTGTGTTTGAAAAAATGTTACGTTTTATAATGCTTCTAGGAATTATATTTTGTAAATGGCAACTCGTTGCGGTATTAAGATTTTCACAAATACACTCCAAAGATTAAGCAATAGATGACCCAAAAATAGAGCAAAAAGGTAAATAATGGAAAGAAAAAACCTGCTGAAGCTGCACCAACAACATCTTTCTTGGAGTCTCTGGTTGTCAGTAGCAGCCTTGTTTTGTAGTGACCATGAGTGGCATAGAAGTCTGAGATGGCCATGTTGATGCAACTCAACCCTATCTTGCCACCCAAATCGTCCAAGTCAAGAACCACACCAACATTCACTGGGATAAACGTTGTGTTTTGAGCAATTGCCATTTCTATGAAGAAAATAATGTGAAGAGAAAGAAAAGAAGAGAGAGAGAAAACGTGTTTTGTAGGGTTTTTCCTCATTTTTTTGCCCATTGAGATGTGGTTCTTTTTTTCTATGTAGTACGATCTGACATATGGACTTGAAGCATGGAAGAAGAAATTAGAACATCGTGCGTGGGTGGGGGGCAACCAGCCTTATTCTTTGAAATGGTGAAAAAAAATTGGACTAATCCAAACAAATACTTCAAATTCTGAGGCAGAAAATAAAGAAATTCAAAGATGACTGTAATTAAATGTAAGAATCTCTTATAAGTCCTCGAGAGGAGAGCATGACACCATATCTCACTTTCCAGGAAATTAACATCCCATCCTAATGTTATAGAAAAAAATGCAAAGTCAATGCCTTGCTACCTCTTAGTCCAATACTTGCAATATCAACATAAGATTCAGATCGTCTCGATGCGCAAAAGCCATGGCCTCATCGAAGATACCCTTATCGTTAAAACCAAACAAAAAATAATCTTATGCATGTAATCGGCAGGGTTCGGTTCTCATTTCCTGTAGCCAGATATCACTGTTATCAGAGGTTCGATTCTTTCGTTTTTTGTTAGAGGGTCAAATTTTGTCTTCAGGATATAGCTACAGGCTGGAAATGATTGGCTATGAATGGTTATGCAGGGCTTCTGCTTAAGTTGATAGTAGGAAATGAAAAACATCTTTCTACAGGAAAAAAAAAGCACAAGAACGATAGAAATAAAATGTTAATCGTAGAGTATTCAAGTTCAAGCAAAGGTAAGAAACTTTCTAGATATAAAACATAGAGAACTGAAACTTGAAATCATTCTAATTACATCGGTTGCTGCAGTTTTGATGCTTCAGCTTCGGTACAATGCTAGTGGTCATCATAGCCATTGTGCTTAAAAGTCATCTAAAAATTAGTTTGTTTGTGTTTGGAGAGGTAGACCATATGTCATTTATTATAATTACATAAAATTATAAGTTTAATATATATATATATATATATATATATATATATATATATATATATTAAACTTATAATTTTACATGTTAATCACGGATCATAAATGACTTATAACGATAAGAAGAAAAATAAACGACATCATAATAAAAATAAAATAGATGATCTAAATATGAGAAAAAACCATTCTTAAATTTTATCCATTAATTTCTCTTCCCGAAATTGAGATATTTTAATGAAAATTTTAAATTTGTTTTATACTATCCATTTTATGGATGTCCTTGTGTTTAAAAATGCTACTTTTTAATTATAATGCTTCCAGGAATTATATTTTGTAAATGGCAACTCATTACGGTATTAAGATTTTCCCAAATACATTCCAAAGATTAAGCAATGGATGACCCAAAAATAGAGCAAAAAGGTAAATAATGGAAAGGAAAAACCAGCTGAAGCTGCACCAACAACATCTTTCCTGGAGTCTCTGGTGGTCAGTAGCAGCCTTGTTTTGTAGTGACCAGAGTGGCATAGAAGTCTGAGATGACCATGTTGATGCAACTCAACCCTATCTTGCCACCCAAATCGTCCAAGTCAAGAACCACACCAACATTCACTGGGATAAATGTTGTGTTTTGAGCCATTGCCATTTCTATGAAGAAAATAATGTGAAGAGAAAGAAAAGAAGAGAGAGCAAACGTGTTTTGCAGGGTTTTCCTCATTTTTGTGCCCATTTATTACATGTGGTTTTTTTTTTATATGGTACGATTTGACATGTGGACCTGAAGCATGGGAGAAGAAATTAGAACGGTGTGCGTGGGAAGGGGGGCAGCCAGCCTTATTCTTTGAAATGGTGAAAAAAATTGGACTAATCCAAACAAATACTTCAAATTCTGAGGCAAAGAACAAAGAATTTCAAAGATGACAGTAATTAACTGTAAGAATCTCTTATAAGTCCACGGGAGGAGAGCATTGTCGCTACACAACATCAAACGAAAATCTCAAAAAAATTCTATTTAAAAATCTAAGTTTTTTGAAATTCGCATCTAGTTTGTAATTTATTCTGAAAATGCAAGTTATTATTGAGTTTAGAGCCACCACCTAGTATTAAAGGGACTAGGAACCTAAAATAACATTAGCACGGAGATTTTACAAGAAGAAGTTGATTACATTTTGGAAAGACATTAGTCACCCAAAAACGCATTTTCCTAAGAAAGGTATAATTTCTAATTCAGTCCTAAATTCATCTATTAAAGTATTTTGTTTATGACAAGTTATTTTCAATTTGAATTCCAATTTTTCGAGTTAATTTAAATGTTGGTGAATTATGATTTGGTGGGGATCGTCATCGGTGCCTAAGAATTTAGGAGACTCGATAATCCACCTATCTATTAACTATCAATCTAATTATTGACATTTTTAGGAGAAATTGTCATCGGTCCCTAAGAAATTAAGAGACTCGACAATTCAACTCGTCTTTTGATTATCTAAACTAATTATTGACATTAATAAGGGAAATCGTCATCGATCCCTAAGAATTTAGGAGACTCGATAATTCTTTAACCTAATAACTACTAATCTAATTATTGACAATTCGATGAAAAATTGTCATTGCTCTCTAAAAATTAGGAGACTTGACAATTCGTCCACCTATTAACTCGCTAGACTAATTTTGAAATAAAATCATAAAATTAACAATTAGCGTTCCTTTTTTATCATTTTTATTTTTTTGTTGTTTTTTTATTAATGGAGAATCGTCATCAATCCCTAAAAATTAGGAAACTTGACAATTCGTCCACTCATTATATAATCACCTATACTAATTACCGAAATAAAAATTCATGATTGTATTAATTAAATAAATTAAAAAAATTCAAACATTAAACTTAGATTAAACATAAATAAAGTAGCATGCATAAAATAAAATTCAGAATTAATCTAAACAAAATAAAACTAAGTTCTTGTGCTGGTTAGTGGGCCCTCAACCCACTGGGCCAGGACTGCTAGGCTGGCCTGCCCTTTATTCTTTTTTAGGGGCTTGGGCTGGACTGGAACTAGCCCAATCTGTGACCATGCGGGCTGGGCTAAAATCAGCCCAGCCTTGGTCACTCGAGCTGGGTTTAGCCCAGCTCGCTTAAACTACCTAGCGGTAGGGGTGGCCCCAACCTTTACCATTTTTCTTTTAACAAAAACCAAACCTCCAGTACCATATTTTTTCTGAGCCTGACCCGAATCAAACAAATATCAAAATTCCATACCTTTCGTCTTCTTCTATTCTCTGCCTCCTCCATTTCTGAAAACAGTTGGGATCGTATGATTTCTCCTGCTTCCTTGCCTTTCTTTTTGTCTGTTCAGATTTTAAGACCCCATCAAAAATTTCTCGTTTTCTCTCTCCCACATTCTCTTTTATTATTTTTTTCTTCTATTCAGATTTCAAAGCCCCATCACCACAAGAAAGTCTCCTAGCCTTGAATCCTACAGTCTCGTTGAGGTTCAATAGAGGCTGGGTTCTTTGTAAGGGAATGGCGACGAGAAGAAAGCAATATCAGGGACTATTGCAGCAGTGGTTTATAGAGCAATATCAGGGGCTGTTGCAGCAGTGGTCTGTAGAGGTTTCGGGTGATATGAGTTGAGTACTGGTTGTATTCGGGTGACTGGGTATTTGGGTGGAGCAGAAAATGAGGAGGATGGCTTGGTGTCAAAGGATGAGGCTGTTGGTTGTGGTTTGGGAGGTATGCGTACCATGTGTTTGTGATTTGGTCTATGAAAGGTGGCGATGTCGTGGCTTGATTTTGGTAGGGTGTTTGGTGAGTGTCTGTGTGGAGAAGAAAATGATAGATTTCAATGGCAGTAGGAGGGCCTGGTGAAGGAAGATGGGTTCAGCATGGGTGGTTTTTTGTGTGGGGTAATCTGTTGGCTAAGTTTTGCGTTTTTTTCCTGTGAGAGAGGCCCGAATGATGGTTTTGGGCAGGAATGGCCTGATGGCTGGAGCAACTGCTGTGATTGTGGGGGAATGGTTGGATGAGCTGACCAGGTTGGCATGGGTGCTTGTTTTTGGGAGTAGGGTATCACGGTTCAGGAAGGCTAGCTTGTTGAAGGTTAGAGCTTGGCTGTGGAGGTCAAATGGCTTTGGGGGGTGGGTGGGTGGGGCGGGCAATGGGGCTACTACCACTGCTACTGTTGAGTTTTGCAGAAGTGAGGATGGCCAGCTGGGTTGCTTGTCTCATGTGATGGTGAAGGCTAGAGGTGGTGACTTTGATCATTAGTGGAGAGGCAGGGGTCTGTGGCTGTGGCTGTGGTTGTGTTTAATGGGGGCTTGAGGCTGTGACAGAAGGGTTCTTGATAGTGTGAGGGAGAAAGGAGGAGGGGCAATGGTGAGGGTTGGACTCTGACCGTCGGGATGGTTTTTTATTAGGAGTGGAGAAGATATGGGCTATGGGTGATTGGATGAGCTGTTTGGAGGGAGAGGTTGCTGCTTGGTGGAGGGAGGAATAGCCATGACAGCCATCTTTTCCAATGAAGATGGCTGCCCAGCTTTTTCATTTTTTGTAGACTACATTGTTTAGGTTTTTTTTTTTTTTTTTTTTTTTTTTTTTTTTTGAGATCAGAGAATTGTGGAGGCTCTCTTGTCGCCTCCTTTTTGTGGCTGTCCTAAAAAGAAGAGAAAGAATTGCTTTCCAGGAAATTAACATCCTGCCCTAGTGTTATAGGAAAAAACTGCAAAGTCGATGCCTTGCTACGTACCCATCAGTCCGATACTTGCAACATCAACATAAGATTCAGATCGTCTCGAGGCGCAAAAGCCATGGCCTCATCGAAGATACTCTTATCGTTAAAACCAAGCAAAAAGTAATCTTATGAATGTAATCGGCAGGGTTCGGTTCTCGTTTCCTGTAGCCAGATATCACTGTTATAAGAGGTTTGATTCTTTCGTTTTTTGTTACAGGATCAAATTTTGTCTTCAGGATATGACTACAGGCTGGAAATGATTGGCTATGAATGGTTATGCAGGGCTTCTGCTTAACTTGATGGTAGGAAACGAAAAACATCTTTCTACAGGAAAAAAATACACAAGAAAGATAGAAATAAAATGCTAATCGTAGAGTATTCAAGTTCAAGCAAAGGTAAGAAACTTTCTAGATATAAAACATAGAGAACTGAAACTTTAAATCATTCTAATTACAGCGGTTCCTGCAGTGTTGATGCTTCAGCTTCGGTACAATCCTAATGGTCATCGCAGCCACTAGATGTGCTATTTCATCTAGTGATTCCAGAAGCCATCGACATTGTACCACTACTCAAATCATCTGCATTCTAGACTTCCACCCTGATTACAATTACGTTACAACGCTACAATACCTACTGTTGTCACAAGTTTTAAAGCAATCAATGTTGTGAACTCCATATCAATTACTTTCATGGTCTACTCTTAAAGCTGTTGGCCTCTCTTGATTAGCGCTGTTAAGCTGATCAATATTTATTACCAACTCTTCAGGTGCTTGCCTATTTGGACTTGAATCATACTCTCCAGGAAATTCTGCGTGAACTCAACAGGCCGTCGGGGTTTGCTCACCCATACTAGGCAGATTAATGCCACTTCTGTCTTTCAGTTCATTTTCTCTGAATGTATGAGATGTTTCGTCCCTTTCATTGTAAATTATGAACAAGTTTCACATTCTACTCCATATTGAAGCTCTGGAATCAGAAGGCATCAAGACTCTCCTTTTCCATAAACAAACTCGACTATGAAGATTAGGAGAGATGAAAGTGAAGCTATTCCGACAATTAAAAATAATCACCAGAAACTCTTGAGGCTAAGGCTATTCGATGAAATTGAGGTGCTGGAAACTGGACAAGTGCTTTGTTTCCCAAACCATGCGTCCTCGATTTGCTTCATTCTATCTCCTTCGGTAACGTTTAGAATTGCCCTTGATACATCAGGTACTAGAGGAGAACCTTTAGGGAAGGCCTGTAGTCACAAAAGGAAAGTATCTGTACATGAAAAACTGCATCTCCAGAAGACAGAAAAATGGAGATAGAGAAGTGAACTTACAAAGGCAAAACCACCCGTTTTAAATGTAGGATCAATCATGGTGTATTTAGAGCAATACTTTGACAAAAAGAGCTCCATATATGGCACTTCATCAAAAGCAGCTGCAATACCGCCATTTCCACTTCCTTTGGAGAAAAGTTCTTCGCATTCTTCAGTTGAATTGTACAGCAAAAGCTTCGACTTGTCAAAACACCCTAACAAGATTCCCGGAACAAAAGAACCTTCCCGGTATCCGACATACTCCCCCTTCTTAATGAGCTCATTTACGTCAGTTACTTTAGGCTGTAGCTTCTGGACCGTAAGTACGCTTGTTAAACTGGCCGTATAACTCTGTGTTAAGATCAGCACAACGAAACACCATATGATAACCACTACTCTAGACAGGTTGCTAACCACTACTCTAGACAGGTTGCTAACCACTCTCCCCCTTGCAAGTATAGTTCAAAGTGGGACATGAGTGAAACATAAACACGGAGTCAATTTGGTGTCTGAGAGATCAGTCACATATCTGTTAAGAGTAGAAGACAATAAATTTAAAAGAGGAATGGAAATTACGCTGAACAAAAACCATAGTTGAGAAGGAAAACCAGAAGCTAGTGCCAACATGATGTGAAGGAGGGCCTCGAAAATCTTCATTTATTCTATGTTCCAGAACCCAGACAACAAATCCAATGAAAATAAAGGAACAAAAACTTGTGACCCAAGGGTCCCATGTCAAAGGCCTCAAGAAAACCCATGCATTTTTCTTATTGTTTTCTACAAAAGGAACAATCATGGAGACACCACTTTCCGTGCAATGGAAGGTAAAATGGACGTACAAGGATCTGTTGAAGACAATAGTTGTATCCCCCACCACAGCATCATAATTCTGTTGGTGGTAGCCAAAAATGCAAAACGAAAAACCAATTTATGCCTAAGCATGTTTCAGATTTGATATTGAACGTATTGTACATGTAAGTAGACAAAATGATAAAGAAAGTTTTACCTGTAAGTAAACTTGATAGATCAGGCTGTCATAATTTCCAGCGGGTCCGCCATCAGGGTTGGCAAAGGGGATGAACTCATAAGGCAGGGCATAAGGCAATGACCCCACTACAGCTTCAAAAACATCTATGCTAAATCCCATTACTGTCGAGGTGTTAGTGCCGGGATCTCTTGTCACTGACACAAACTGACTGAAGCCATCCTTTACTGGCACTCCTATTTTCAACTTCTTCCCATTTGAGGGAATCTCCCAACCCTTGGGAACAGCAGTGTTATCACCTGGCCATATTACAGTTGAAAAACAGCGCATAGAAAACGAATTCACTCTTGCATTTTCTGTTGAATTCAATTTTTTCACAAGTCCATTTTTGGTGTCCAAAATCCAACCCCTCTTCCTCCATTGCCATTCACATTAAATATCTGGAAAGCCGATGATTGCAACTGCTCATTAACAAAAACAAAATATCCTGCAAGACCTTTGAAACTAGTGTTTGATAACGCTTGAATAATGTTTGGACCATTTAGAGAGACACCAAGATTTGCAAGATCCATTGATGAATTGCTAGAAACATTTGCCTTTTGGAAGCCAAAGTTTGTAGTTCCAGTTCTCTCAACTGCCAAGGCCAACGCCGTCGCAGCATCATAGGCCCATAGTCCATAAATGTTCAAGTCAGCATCAACATTATCTGGATTATCTTGCTGGAATTTCCTTTTCCAACGAACTCGAAAATTTTCGAGCTCTTTTGTTCTTGACACATAAGGTTTAACCCCCAATACCCCTTGCATTGTATCAGTGACAGAATGATTTGCTGAACTCAACAAATCAGCTGTCAGACCATCAGTCACGATCCAAACATAGCCTTCACTCATCATTCCAATCTCTTTTGCTTCGGCAAAAAGCCGAGTGCCAAGAGAGCGATACATGTGCACAATGAAAACTCTAGTTTGCATTGTCATCAGCTTTGTAAAGCTCCTCGACAATTTGATCATCGGTGGCTGATAGAGAAATGACACTCTGATAGGGGACACGAGCATCAACTGCTTGCAAAGCATCAGTCAAATACGGTATGATTCCCTCTCCATATTCATTGTCGATGTAGATGGGTACTGCTGCTCTCCATCCAAAGGCTTGAACTAATGCAGTTAGGGCATTCACTTGAGTTGAGTCATTTTGGGTAGCCCGAAAAAAATATGGACTCCTGATTGAAGTAAGAGACGGACTTGATGCAGAAAATGATGTTATGGGGACCTGAGCTTTTTCTCCAAGGTCAATAACAAAATTGGCTTGCATTGATGTTGTTGGCCCTATGATTGCTTGCACTTCCACATTTTTTATCAAATCCAGGGCTGTGTTTTGGAAGAGGATAAGAAAAAAAGTTACAATAGATTTCTTGTTAACATAATCAGTAAAAACTAGCGGCATCATGTCGTGCTTTATATCAGATAAGAATTTTGATGTCAAGAATATAGTGGCTATGCAACAAAGAAAGAGCAATGGATCACACTCTGTTATTGGTGATATGCAAGATAATTTAAATATCAAGCAGGGTTTGATTGCAATCATTTCTCAGTCCCTAGAATATCTTCTCCTGCCTCTCCTCTTAAAGCAGCAAACACTTTTCCTGCTTCCATCCTTGAACTCAGTAAAAGCTACACTCATCCGCACAAGTTATCCATGCTGCTGTAGTTATTGCTTATTTTCCTACACTATTACTCCAAATTTGAGCAGATATGAACCAAAGTAGTATTTTCCTTTTCTTTTCTTTTTTTTCTTTTTTGTTTTCTAGTTTTAACTTGAGGCCAAAAGGTTTATCAATCAAAACTATGTTTTAATTTTAGGGAAAACTGGCTGACTGACTAATGCAAGAACAACTGATTCTATATACAACCACCTAACTTTCTTATACATTAACGAGTAACTACATTAATGTCATTCGAGGATGATTCAAATATGATGCAATGATTGCCATAGCAGTCCTAAACAATTGAAATCTGAAGTGCAGAGCAAGTGAAACAATTTAGTAAACAAGTTGCATCCTAAGTTATTAATCCAAACAAAAATGGTTAACAAGTGATTAGCTATGAAGTGCCCATCAACAGCTTATATGTAAAAGAGAAATGGCAGAGTAATGCTTGCTGTACTAGCACGTTAAACAACTTATTCAATGAGAACGTGGCATCAGAGTGATGAAGATAGTTTTCAAAATCATGTAAGGTTGAGTTTAACAACTAATATGGTATTGAATTATATACACTAACCACAAATTTTCAAACAAAGATTTTGTATTATGTCTTTCCCTTAATTTGGTCGATGGTCTCTGTGCATCAGAGTGATGAAGTACCAAGGTGACCAAATCTAACTCCTATAGTGTGAAGTTGAAAGTCTCTAGTCTACAATATCACAACACAAACGATAGACTACAGCCTACATAGGTGACTTGTAAAAACAACTAGCCGCGGCTCATGAAGACTTATTGGTTTTCACCTGGATTCCTATCATCAAACCAAGAGAAGTTGCAGGTTCATAATCTCCACAATTAAATTGATGCACAAGAAGGTTAATTATCAGTCAGAAAACGATACTAAGTAATGATTGAAAATTAGAGCATGGTGCAGATAAAATACGGACAGAGGGTCAGAGGGAACCTGCTGCAGCTGCACCAACAACATCTCTCTTGGAGTCTCTCTCATAGATGACATGTGAAAGCAAGCTGGCCATGATTTTTGAAGAATTGTTTGAGTGTTCTGACCCTCATCACTTGCCACTTTGACCATTATTATTATTTATTGTTCACAGGTGCTTATCATTCCTAGTCTAGCTGCCTAACTCACGATATCATTTGAAACATGATAAGAGATTACGAAAATAAAATTTCTAGTGAATAATCAATTTAAATACTGACTGAGATGGGTTATTTTTAATCGTAGTACATAAAATATAGTCCGAAAATATCCCTAAATATCGAGAAAGAGTTAAAAAAAAAAAAAAATGGGAAACAAGCATGCAACATGATGTTCTCATAATTATCTGGATTGAGAATTTCTATCATCAAACTAAAAGAAGATGAAGGTTGATCACTTCATAATTAATACACAACGCATAAAAATCTACTATTAAAAGTAGCTGCCAAAAAACCTTCTCAACCGAAGAATTTAAACTGCTAGATGAAGGTTAAGAAAACAGATGAAAAAATCAAGAAAGAGGGAGGAGGGAGAGGGAACCTGCTGCAGCAGCACGAACAACATCTTTCTTGGAGTCCCTGATGTTGAGGACCAGTCTGGTTTTGTAGTGGCCATGAGTGGCATAGAAGTCTGAAAGGGACATGTTGATGCAACTCAACCCAATATTGCCATCCAAGTGATCATTGTCCAGGTCAAGAACCACACCTACATTCAGTGGGATTATAGATGTTGTGTTTTGGGCCATTCCGATTTCAATGAACAAAATCTTCAAAGAAAGAAAGAAAAGGAAAGAGAGAGCTGGCTTTGAAGGGTTTTTCCTGATCATCTTGTCGTCTACCTATGCTTGAGCTGATTCCAGTTTGTTGGTTTAAGCTTGAAAGAAAGATCTCTCTTATTTATACAAGCCTGTGGCCTGTGGCTTTTGAAAAGGATGGATACATAAAGCCTAGCAGAAAGCGTTAAAGAAAAAGCGAGTGAAGAGGACCCAACTATAAATTTATTTTGAAAAGGATGGAAATTTCATGTTTGGATTATTTTTTTATTCGTTTCAACATTCAGGATTTTTTTTTATTTATTGGAAGATTAGTAAACAAAGACCAAGACCTATTGAAGGTCGCACTAGTAGCATCTCCCACTAGAAACAGAAGCATACCAGGAGGAGGAGAATCCCAAATAGATTCAGATATTTTGGGGTTAAAATTTTCACAGTTTTTTTTTATAGTTACATTTTAGGCAGATCAGCTGTATCTAAATTGATACACCTGTCAATTTTTTATTTTTTTTCACAATCTGTTCCCTTAATTTGGAACCTGATTAATTGGGTAGCAAACTTGCTTTTTTTCCTGAACCAATTTTTTACATTTTAGGCAGATCAGCTTTATAGTTACATTTTAGGGTTTGGTTAAATAAACTGAATTTAGAAATGTAAAGTAATTGCTTAATATTATTCCAAAAAAAAAAAAATGGAAGCAAATCTTGTTCAAAAATCACTCTCTAGAGGAAAGCGATTAAGAGAAGAGGAGGATCAAAAAGTCTTAGCAGAATATTTAATTGCGTTTATTTAGATGTCTTTCACCCCAAAGTATTCCTTGTCTTATTTTATCATCTTTTACCTTGACTACATTAATGCACATGTGGTTATTGAGTTTCCAGCTTATATATATATATATATATATATATTTCCCATAAATTCTCAAGCTCGATTTTTTTCTTAAAAAGAATTATATATATAATTTTTGTTTGTTACATTAAATAAATATAAAAATATAAAATAATATAAAAAATATTGAATGGAACACCAATCATAAAACGTAAGTTTTTTAAATGAAATTCACATTCAATTATTAAATTTTATATAGTATCAAAGTCACTTGACAAATTTCAAATATTCATATTGACTAAATAAAAAAATGTTGAATACATCACTCAATATGCTTGCTTAAGTGTTTTGGATGAAAGAAAGAAAAACATCAGATTTCTTATTGCAGCCAAAAAAGAAAGAAAAAAGAAAGGCAACAGATTCCTTATTATACAGCAAAAAAAAAAAAAAAGAGCTTTTATGGAAAAGTATATTAGTTTTAAAAAGAGCAATTTACCCTACATGATCTAATTGAATGTATTTTTGTTAAATCCAATGTTTTCGTAATCCTATATACTTACAAAAATCACTAATTATACTCTTTTTGTTCCTAACATTGTCATATTGTTTTGGATTTTTTGAATATTTTTCTGGGCAAACAATCATCTAATCACAGTGCATGTTTAATTGTCTACAATTCAAGACAGTCATCTATTTTACTTACTAAGATAAGGCATGGCAGTCATCTATTTTACTTACTAAGATAAGGCATGGCAATCTTTGGAGGAAGTATCCTTTGTTATGTCACAAAATTTGTTTTCAAGACACATGGCCGGCCATCTCGTATTAAGTTCAACTTTTCTGTACACCCACTCCTTGTCTGCTAATTGAATCCCAATCATCTATATTCTACAATAGCTTAAGATTAGTAACATAACATTTATATCAACCAATGTGATCTAGTAGTAAGAATTGTTTTGTTTTAGACAGATGTTCAATTCTCATTATACATAGATAATTAGTCTCGTAACCTTCGTAAATATATATATATATATATATATCGGTGTGTTGATTAGTGTGCTCGAGGACTACATTCTCGCTCGAATTTTGTATGATTTATTTGAGGACTTTAGAGTGATTTTGGGTAAAACTTAAAGAATAAAAGTTGTTCTTCTATGTGTCTACTAGCTCTCTGTAAAATTTCATGATTTTTAGACCTATATATAAAGAGCTATAGCCATTTACCGTAGGTTGGTCTTGAAGCATCACTCGCTAGAATTTTTGAAAAAAGAATGCACAAGGAATTTCTGAGTTTTAAGAAAATAAATTTTCAAAATTTCATGAAGGAAACTATGTTTATTTACTTGAATCAAGTTAATTACGGTGTATATTTAACCTAAATTTTTAGTTAGACACCTAAGCAATGCATAAATGAATTAATAGCCAACTCACCCATTTTTATCCCAAACCCGCCACCTCTTACATGACTCACCATAACTTTTACACCTTGTCCCATTAATTTTCAACACCCGTAACTTAATTCACTTAATAGCCAACGGGTTTGATATCCAATATCCTTAGTACCGTAATTGTGGTATCATGTGCATCACGTGCATCAATGGAAAAGAAATGGGAACATAATCAATTAATTGAGAATGGAGTTGTATGAATAGGTTTGGTAACTTAATCAAATAAAAAAGGGTTAGCGGTCCATCCGTGTACGTACTCTAAGCCGTGTGCTTGCACTATTAGGTGATGGATTCCCGTTAGCAAGTGGCTACAACGAGGGATAATTCCATTGTTAGCATTCGATGATTCAGTAATCACCTATAGAGTAGACCGCTAATACCTGTGGTACCCAAAAATTAAAAATTGATGAGAATGATGGGAAGTTAGAAAAGCATTGCATATCACATGCATCACCCCACTTGCCGAGCTTTGGCTCAACCCGTTGTTATTTGTATGTTATGACAAGTAGCGATGATCGTAGTACCAATAAGGACACCGTCGGATCCTCCAAAAGGGCTCGGGGGTGACATAAACCTTAGAGGATTTTATTTTGTTTGTAAATTTTGGGGTTGAGGTGTCGAGAAATATTTTGATGGTGTTGTAAATAAATTTTGTAATTTCTTCCACCGTATTGTTAATATTATATAAATTATTTTATATATGTTCATGGTATGATAAATACTTAACGTATGAGCACGTGCGTGTTTAAGGTTAATTCGAAGATCGGTCATGTCACCATGACGTGCCTCGCCTAGTTACTCTTATTTGGGTACTAGAGAGTGAACCGGGGTGGGGGCGTCACAAGGTGGTATCGGAGCTATAGTTTAGTTAACTAGGTAGAACCTTAAGTGTCACTTGAGCTCGAAGACCGATGTGTTACTCGACGAGTAACAATCTAATCCCCGATTTTTTTTTAAATAAGTATGGTTATTATTATGTGATTTTCATGCTGGTATAATCATGTTCTAAAAATTTTAATACCGATTATTATTGTTTCGTAGATGTCGTATTTATTTCGTACACCCCGCATTGCTAGGATGTGCCAACAACGGGCTAGCCTAGCTACCTACTAGGCCGAACTAAACGACCGACTATGACCTCGGATCAAGATATAGTAGCCCACGTCACTCGGGTGTATGACTCGATTCGGCGAATAACATTCACCGATGCTTCTTTCTAACGAGCATCGTAGTATAGATTTCTTATGACCGACTCGCATTGGATTCTTTTACCGAGAGACCGGCAGTTGCTAGATGAGGTTGGGGAAGGGTTGATAGGTCGATTTTGTTATCGAGACTTGGTTCGAGCCTTCCTTCCAAGTACGAGGTTAGGTGGACCCATACCCAATTGATGTATAGTTGGGGTCTATCATTGCCCTTTGCTCACAAGATAGTACACATTACATCGAATGATGTTATTGATCAGTGGAGGGTCGAGCACTCTTTCCCATGATGCATCCGATATATTGGTTGGACATAATAGATCGTAACTCGATCACGCGATGTAGTAGTTGTTGTGTATTTCTTGATTTAAAAAAAAGTACACTTTTGATTGTAAATAGAGCATAAAAACTTTTACAAGGTAAAAGTACTTGTAAATACATGTTGTGTACGAAATGCTATGTATATAAATATCTATAATTTTGCATGTAAATGGATAATTTACAATATATATTGTTTTTCGTACCGAAAATAACATGGATATAACATGGCATATACAAAGTCCAAGCATGCTAAGAAACGAACCAACACGAGCAAGAGGTGAAAGGACCTCCAATGATCACAATAGAAATTAGCAGGACGTTTTAAGTCGCATGATGGATATTATGTAGCAACAACAACAAGAAATACGACAACGAGTAATAAGACCATACGGAGCAAATGAGACAGACTCCTAGCTATGCATCAATAGCCTCTACCTCCATCACCCTAGCATAGGAATGATGCGATGGAGAGGGTTCATAAGATGAGTCCTTATGAATTCTCCAGGGGTGTTAACCCAATGATAGCGGAGGAATGGATTAAATCGTTAGAAGCGATATTCGAATACTTGTAATTCACCAACAATGAGCGAGTGTCATGTGCTATTTTTATGTTAACTAAGGATGTCCACACCTGGTGGGAGAGTGCACGACTAACCGTAGATGTGCCGACTTTGACTTGGAAAGGATTTAAGGAGGTCTTCAATAACCGAGTACTTCACCACGGATGTAAGGGCTAAGAAGATTCGAACTTCTTAGAACTAAAGCAAGATGGGATGTCGGTAGGTGAATATGTACGAAAGTTTGAATAAGGTCGTAGATTCATCCCATTCACTCGCTGGGATAAAAATCTGAAAAAGAACGATTCCCGACAAGGTTAAATCCTAGAGTATGAAGTATGGTTCGGATGTCCGCCACTAATACCTTCTCGAAAATGGTGGATAAAATGATGATAGTTGATGAGGATCAAAAAGAGATTACAAGGGAGGTATAGTAGAAGAGGCGTGTGTTCGGATCGGGAGCCTCATCATCGGGTCCAAGTAAGACGGGGACCGCCTGGGAATTTCAACGAAGTGGTGGCCAAGGGAATACTCGAGCCACTGGACCAACGACTTTATGTAACCCCCGTAAAAAAAACATAAAAAAACTATAAAAAAAAACATATATATATATATAT